GGAGCCATGAACAGTATCTGCCCTGAGGATACGACACCTGCTGGGGACCATCCTGAACCCAGAGACCTCACAAGGTCTTTGTTGGGAATCCCAGCTGTTTCCTTCAAGCACTGAGTAGGTTTAATCATCCCTCACCCACGCGGCTGCCTCTCAGGACCCCTCTTTCCTCTGAGCCCCAGAGATCTGGGGCCCACGGCTCTTCCCCTCGTTTCAGCTGGGAGATGACATCGGGTTTGGAAACTGGGAACCCTGCTCATGGGAAAGATGACCAGTGAGATCAGGTAACAGCAAAAGAAGAAATTACTCAACCTGTGCATCAATGATGGTTCTTTGAGATGTGTCTCCCTGTGGGTGCTCCCCTGTAGGTGCTAGCCCATTAAAAACAGCTGTGTAGACCGGTGGCTTTCCAGACTACTGTGCCCCTTCCAGGAGTCCGATTTGTCTTGCGTACCTCTGAGTTACACCTCATTTAAAAACTACTTGATTATAAAATCAGACATAAAAATACAAAAGTGTCACCACACACTGTGAATTGCTGACTTGCTCATTTTTACCATCTAATTATAAAATAAATAATCGGAATATAAATATTGTACTTACATTTCAGTGCGTATATCAAGGTTCTGTCCTCACTCTGAACTCTAGGGTACAGATGTGGGGACCTGCATGAAAGACCCCCTAAGCTTATTCTTACCAGCTTAGGTAAAAAAAAACTTTCCCAAGGTACAAACTTTGCCTTGTCCTTGAACCCTATGCTGCCACCACTAAGCGTGTTAAGCAAAGAACAGGGAAAGAGTCCACTTCGAGACGTCTTCCCCCAAAATATCCCCCCAAGCCCTACACCCCCTATCCTGCGGAAGGCTTGATAAAAATCCTCACCAATTTGTACAGGGGAACACAGACCCAAACCGTTGGATCTTAAGAACAATGAAAAAGCAATCAGGTTCTTAAAAAGAAGAATTTTTATTTAAGAAAAGGTAAAAGAATCACCTCTGTAAAATCAGGATGGTAAATACCTTACAGGGTAATCAGATTCATAACATCGAGAATCCCTCTAGGCAAAACCTTAAGTTACAAAAAGACACAAAACCAGGAATATACATTCCATTTAGCACAGCTTATTTTACCAGCCATTAAACAAAAGGAAATCTAACGCATTTCTAGCCAGATTACTTACTAACTAACAGAAGTTCTGAGACTGCATTCCTGATCTGCTCCCGGCAAAAGCATCACACAGACAGCGAGACCCTTTGTTTCCCCCCTCCAGCTTTGAAAGTATCTTGTCTCCTCATTGGTCATTTTGGTCAGGTGCCAGCAAGGCTATTTTAGCTTCTTAACCCTTTACAGGTGAAAGGGTTTTACCTGTGGTCAGGAGGGATTTTATAGCACTGTATACAGAAAGGTGATTACCCTTCCCTTAATTCTTATGACAGCATAGTATATAGATGAGCATAAGCAAGTCATTGTATGAAATTTTACTTTGTACTGACTTAGCGAGTGATTTTTCCATAGCAACTCTGGAAGACCTCTGCGTACCCCAGGGGTACACAGACCACTGGTGTAGACACTGCAGCTCAGGCTTAAGAGACCGAGCTCCAGACCAATCTGCAACCTCTCTCTCTCTCTCTGTGTTGCCTTGTTTTTTTGCCCTGGATAGCAGCAAACTTAAGCCCAGTCTGTTCGTACCGTAGTTCCTGTGTCCCAAAGTGCAGTGCAGTTGTGTTCCCGTGTTCTGCTTCCCTTGGACCCAGTCATTACACATTAACCTTCAGGAGACTTCCATTGTCCAGTGTGCTTCATACATATGTGGATAGTCCTTGATAGTGTTTCCATGTAAATGGAGACTGACCTATGCTACTTCAACAGGAATTACATCCCCATCCCAGAAGAGGAATTCATTCCTTCACACCAAGTGGCTAACAAAGCAAATTGAGAAGGAAGCTGACCCATGCATATTTTTCATTAAAAAAACCTACTAAATAAAGCCCCCATTCTCCAGAGGGAGACAAGGTCAAAGTGAAGGGCTAGGATAATGAACCATAAAATCACAGAAACACACAGGGTAAAAGGACCTCAAGATGTCAGCTAGTCCATCCTCCAGCCCTGAGACAGGACCAAGTATACATAGACCGTCGGTCTACCCTCTTCTTAAAAACCTCCAGTGACCAAGATTCCACAACCTCTCTTGGTAACGTATTCCTGTACTTATCTATATGCACAGTTGGAAGTTTTTCCTAATATCCAACCTAAACATCCCATGCTGCAGAACAAGCCAGTTACTACTTCTCCCTACCCTAACCCTAAGCAGGAGAGGATAAGGGAAGATCAGATTTCAAGAAGACAACCATAATCAGTAGTGTCAGACAGCTGACAGGTCAAGGAGGAGGAGGAGGAGGATGGAGTGCTGGTTCTGAGCTTTGCCTAGGGACCGGTCATTAGAGACTTCAGCAAAAGCAGCCTCGGTGAAGAGCTACAATCTCTGACTCCCTGAATCCTTCCCTTCCTACCCCTCACCAGACCCCCCTGTGATGGGTTGGGTCACAGAGACCCTCTTGTCACCTCAGGTGCTGGAACTGCCTCTGAGCCCATTGCTCTGTCAGTTAGCGATGTCAAAAATTGCATCCCCACTGGACATGAATTGCAGCAAAAACGTAGTGTCAACAATAGTTACAGTGGCAAAAAAAGTCCATGAAACAGAAAACCAAGGACATTAAAGGCCATCAAAGTACATTAAGCAGAGTTAAGGATGACTAGTGCTGCCTCATGCCCATCCAGCATGTGGATGGTGGTAAAAATAAAACCTCTGAAAACCAGGAAATGAAGAACTAAACTACACACCACCCCTGCAATGTAACCTTAACTCCGCCCCTACCCCCTAGCCCTGGAGCTGGCAAATATCACTAGGAATAGGTCAGGAAGGGTGGTGCCAAGGTTACCAAACTACCCAAGGAAGGGGCAAATTTTCCATCTCTTGAAGTCTTCAAGTCAGGACAGCATGCCTTTCTGGAAGATATTTTCATCAAACACAAGGAATTCAGCGCATTGCAATGGTAACTGGATGAAACTCCATGGCCTGTATTACACAGGAGGTCAGACTAGATGACCTAATAGTCTCCCCCAGCCTAAAAATTTATTGATCAACAGAAGGAAGGACTAAGAACATGCCGCTGTGTGTTTTACCTTCCTCAGATTTTAATACCAGCATTTCTCCACATTCACTCCAGCAGTGTGCACTGTGCCAGCTGCAGCTTTAAATGAACGGTGGAGGGACTAGTTGGAGCAGCTGGGCAGAGCTGTGCCATGAAGAGAGGTGCACGTGAAACTGTAAAGAACAGGTATTCCTCATTTCAATGCTGAGCGGCGTAGGCAGCGTCAATAAGGGCGCACAAGGGCGTGTTCTTGCCACAAGGATCGTCAGCAGGCTGGTGCCGTACATGCTAAGGGTCTCCGGGGCTCAGTAAGGGGTAAGTGAAGGCACTGACTCGGAAGGAATCTTTATTGGAAGGGTAAAGGGTTGGTGACATTATGAAAGTCTGAGATGGATTGTGCGCAGTAGGCTCAGTGTCTGAGTGCAGGCCAGGGGTAGGCAGCTTCCGTTCCCTACATCAGACCGAATCCCAAGTTTTGCCCTAGCAAAGAGACGGTGTTAGCATTTGTGCTGTCCTGCGCCTGTGCTCTGCTCCCAAAAATCGCATCCCCACCTGACATAAATTGCCTCAAAAACTGTAGTGTCAACATAGATACAGTGGCTAAAAAGTCCATTAAACAGAAAAACAAGGAAATTAAAGGCCCATAAAGTACATTAAGCAGAGTTAAGGATGCCTAGTGCTGCCTCGTGCCCTTCCAGCATGTGGATGGTGGTGAAAAATAAAACCTCTGAAAATCAGGAAATGAAGAATTAAACTACACACCACCCCTGCAATGTAACCTTAACTTCGCCCCTACCCCCTAGCCCTGGAGCTGGAAAATATCATTGGGAATAGGTCAGGAAGGGTGGTGCCAAGGTTACCAAACTACCCAAGGAAGGGGCAAATTTTCCATCTCTTGAAGTCTTCAAGTCAGGACAGCATGCCTTTCTGGAAGATATTTTCATCAAACACAAGGAATTCAGCGCATTGCAATGGTAACTGGATGAAACTCCATGGCCTGTATTACACAGGAGGTCAGACTAGATGACCTAATAGTCTCCCCCAGCCTTAAAATTTATTGATCAACAGAAGGAAGGACTAAGAACATGCCGCTGTGTGTTTTACATTCCTCAGATTTGAATACCAGCATTTCTCCCCATTCACCCCAGCAGTGTGCACCGTGCCAGCTGCAGCTTTAACTGAACGGTGGAGGGACTAGTTGGAGCAGCTGGGCAGAGCTGTGCCATGAAGAGAGGTGCACGTGAAACTGTAAAGAACAGGTATTCCTCATTTCAATGCTGAGCGGCGTAGGCAGCGTCAATAAGGGCGCACAAGGGCGTGTTCTTGCCACAAGGATCGTCAGCAGGCTGGTGCCGTACATGCTAAGGGTCTCCGGGGCTCAGTAAGGGGTAAGTGAAGGCACTGACTCGGAAGGAATCTTTATTGGAAGGGTAAAGGGTTGGTGACATTATGAAAGTCTGAGATGGATTGTGCGCAGTAGGCTCAGTGTCTGAGTGCAGGCCAGGGGTAGGCAGCTTCCGTTCCCTACATCAGACCTAACCCCAAGTTTTGCCTTAGCAAAGAGACGGTGTTAGCATTTGTGCTGTCCTGCGCTTGTGCTCTGCTCCCAAAGCGTTCTGTAGCGGGGAGGGTCGAGTGCTAGTCTGTGTGTCATTGGCCTGTCAGTGGGTTGCTGAAACAGGGAAAAACTTGAGGGTGCAATGTGAACCTTAACTCTTCATTTCTCCTGTTAAGAACCAAGGGGACAGGAATCCTTACCCAGCGAGGTCACATTCTCATAATTCTCCCGCATGACGTCTCCATAGAGGGCTCTCTGAGCGGGGTCCAGCAGAGCCCACTCTTCCTCAGTGAAATACACAGCCACCTCCTCGAAAGTCACCGGCCCCTGAAAGAGCAAGAGCCCCCCACTCTGCACCTGCTGCCCAGTGACAAGCCCACCGTTCACAGGGGAGGAGGACCAATCACATGGAAGCTCTGGGAGGCAGGCAGGCAGGATCCGACCCCCTTCTCATCAGAGCAGCCAAGAGGCATCAGGGTGAGGGGAGAAAGAGAGAGAGCCCCAACCCCTTCTAGCAGACAGAGATGGCCGGGGTCTTCACAGTCAACATTCACCTTCCAGCCAGAAGTGGATACAAGAGATAGAGCCCCCAGGAGGGTCCAAGGGCAGCCAGGCCCCTGGTAGGAATCCCAACCCCACCCCGTGCTAGCAGTTGGATGGAAAGGGATGGGGTGTCTTCCCCGGGCCTCACTGGGGGTTGCCCTCGGGCTATTAAGTTCAGACTCCAGTACTGGAGTCTGGTACATTTCCCCAGCCCAGTCAAGGGGGGAGTGTTTCCTGCTTGACAAATTAGGGAATTTCCACCCACAAACCCCATGGGTCTATTGCTAGAATCTAGGCCCCACCTGGCAGGTTTGTCACACCCTGTCCCCCTCCCTTTCTCCAACCTGTGTATTTCCTGCCCCCTCCCACCTGCCAACCACCCACAAAAGCACCCACCTCCTATGTCTTTACTGCCCTTCTCCCGCCAACAGGAGCCCACCAATAACTCCCCGATAATCCCTACCTGAACTGGCCCCACGGCAGCCATTTCCCTTCCCTGGTCCCTGGAAGGATGGGACGTAACGTTGCAGCCTGTCAGGGCAAGAAGGGGACGTGTCAGAACAGGACAGTAACATCACATCACAATTCCCCCCGGCTCTTTCACTGCAGACTGATGTTCTCGACTTTATCATGCAAATAAGAGAAATATTCAAAACACAATTAGTAATGGGGAGGACGGGGGGACATGGGACTTTAACTACCGAGACACCCGTTAGAAAAGGAATTCAAACAAACACAAAGTGTCCAATAAGTTCTCGGAATGCGTTGGGGACATCTGTTTGCTTCAGAAGATGGACGTAGTAACCAGGGGGATGGGCATTTTAGGGTTGATTCTGACTAACAGGCGGGAGTTAGTTAGGAAATGGAAGGTATCTGGCTGGTGAATCTTGCCCACATGCTCAAGGTTCAACTGATCGCCATATTTGGGGTCGGGAAGGAATTTTCCTCCAGGGCAGATTGGAAGATCCCTCTGTAGCAGGGGGCACGGGTCACTTGCTGGAGGATTCTCTGCACTTTGAAGTCTTTAAACCACGATTTAAGGACTTCAATAGCTCAGACATAGGTGAGAGGTTTATTGCAGGAGTGGGTGGGTGAGATTCTGTGGCCTGCATTGTGCATGAGGTCAGACTAGATGATCATAATGGTCCCTTCTGACCTTAATATATATGAATCTATATGGGCAAAAGTGTTCATGAAATGATGATTTCGTGATTCGAAGAAAAGAAACGCGTTAGAGCAGGAAAATAAGGACAACGGACTTCAAAAAAGCAGACTTCAACAAACTGTGAAAACTGGTATGTGAGTGTGACATTTCCCTCCATATTCTTTATGGAAATATGCTTATGAAATGAATAGGAGATAACCGAGATGTACTCTGTGCAAGATGGGTCTTGTAAGATATCATTGGAAAGGTTATAATTTACTGACTACGATTATCCAATTTGTGTGCACGTATCATTTCTATATCTGAAGTTGGGAATATTGACTATGTATCTGTATTTCAACTATGCTACTTTGGGTGACGCCCACTGCTAACACTTCAGGTACAACAATGGAAAAGCCAGACAGGACGGATGGGCCATCAGCAAGAACAATGGACGGTGAAAAGGCTCCATACTGCCACTGACTCCTGGACGCTGTGATACTACAGAGTCAGGTGGTCTTGTCACCGGATACTCAACATTACCTGGGACTTCCTGTAACTTTCCACTGGAAGGGAAGGGGGATCAAGTTTGGGAAACAAAGGATTCTCACCTTATGTAAATCCTATTTAAGGGTGGGGAGGTAGGCAAACAAAACGACTCCTCTCCGAGGCCTGTCTATCCAAGAAGAAAGACTGCTAAAGCCTCCTGAAGAGAAGGCCGGAGCGGGAAGGAGAGGGGGGCAGGGGAGTCCAGACTGAGACAGGTCCAGTCTGAAAAGTAATATAACTGGAACTCTGAAACATTGCAACCTGCCTAAAATAACATTTAGGGTAAGAAATTACATTGTGTAACCTGTTTTTTTAAGTATATTGAGCTTAGCTTGCGTATTTTGCTTTATTTGGTCAATAATCTGATTTGTTTAACTCTTATATTCACCTTTTGTAGTTAATAAACTTATTTCTTGTTTATAATTTAACCAAGTTTATGTAATTTCTACCTGCGGGGGGGGGGGGGGGCAAGAAGTTGTGCATATATCCCTCCACATTGAGGGAAGGGGCAAATTTCATAAAACCTTGGAGTGTGTACCGCTTAAAGGGAGTGGGCACCAGAGTGCTGGGGCAAGCCCCTAAAGCTGAGTATTTCCAGAGCGGATCTCTCTCTTTCTGTGCAGCTGGGCATGGCCCTGCCCGTGTGCTTGACTGGAAGAGGCTTGTGAGCCTAACCCAGCCAGGCAAAGGGCACCGAGGCTGGTAGAATAGGCTGCCTCAGTGGCACCCCAGCACATCAGGTGACACCCCAAAGGACCCAAACCTGTCACAGTGAAGTCCCATGGGAATAAGATTCTAAGGAGACTAAAGCTCAGGAGAGCTGGTCGTTGCTTTGTTAATGCTGTCTCTGAGAAACAGCAAACTATCACAATGGGAAGGAAAGACAGACAGAATAGTAAGCTGCGAATATGGGTCTGTGAGCAGTTCTTTCATGACCAGACAATAAAAAGGAATCCTACAAAACTCTGAATCATGGACAAATTGCTTTGGAAGTTACACATGTTAGATACGTTAAAGTCAGCCATAAAATTCATCTTAGGGCGCTCAAGGAATGAGCTGAAGCAATCTCGGAACCATTTGCAATTATCTTTGAGAACGCCTGGAGAACAGTGAAGACTGGAGGAGGGCAAACAGAGTACCGATCTTTTAAAAGGGGAACAAAGAGGACTGGGGAATAAAGCCAGGAATGAACAAATTATTAAACCATCAATTTGTAAGCACATAGAGGACAGTAAGGTGTTAAGTTATAGCCAGCATGGATTTGCAAAAACAAATAATGCCAAGTCAATCTAATGTTCTGCTGTCACAGGGGTACTGGACACTGTAGACATGACATATCTTGATTTTAGTCAGGCTTTTGACACAGGCCCCCCGTGACATTCTCATAGTGAACAAGGGAAATGTGGTGAACATGAAAGTGCTATAAAATGGATGAAAATGTTGTTGAAAGGCTGTACTCAGACAGGAATCATTAGTGGTTCACTGTCCAACTGAGAGGACGTATACAATGGAGTACCCAGGGGCCAGTCCTGGATCTGATATATTCAATATTTTCACTAATTACTTGGATCACTGACTGGAGAGCATGCTGTCTAAATATGCAGATAATAGCAGTTGCAAGGGGTTGCAAGCACATTGGAGGACAGGATTAGAATTCAAGGTAACATTTACAAATTGGAGAACTGGGCTGAATGAATGAGATGAAATTCAATAAAGACGAGTGCAAAGTACCAGAGTTAGGGAAGGAAAACCAAATGCACAACGACCAAGTGGGGAAGAGCTGTTTACGAGATAGTACTACTGAAAACGATCAGGGATTATAGGGGATCACAGATTGAATCTGAGTCAACCATAAAAAGAAAAGGAGTACTTGTGGCACCTTAGAGACTAACCAATTTATTTGAGCATGAGCTTTCGTGAGCTACAGCTCACTTCATCAGATGTTTACCTTGGAAACTGCAGCAGACTTTATATACACACAGAGAATATGAAACAATACCTCCTCCCACCCCACTGTCCTGCTGGTAATAGCTTATCTAAAGTGATCAACAGGTGGGCCATTTCCAGCACAAATCCAGGTTTTCTCACCCTCCACCCCCCACACAAATTCACTCTCCTGCTGGTGCTAGCCCATCCAAAGTGACAACTCTTTACATAATCAAGTAGGGCTATTTCCTGCATAGATCAAGGTTCTCTCACATCCCCCCCACCCCCATACACACACAAACTCACTCTCCTGCTGGTAATAGCTCATCTAAACTGACCACTCTCCAAGTTTAAATCCAAGTTAAACCAGAACATCGGGGGGGGGGGGGGGGGTAGAAAAACAAGAAGAAACAATTTCACATTTGGGGACAATGTATACCTTCAGATCAGCGGCACTGCTATGGGTACCCGCATGGCCCCACAGTATGCCAACATTTTTATGGCTGATTTAGAACAACGCTTCCTCAGCTCTCGTCCCCTAAAGCCCCTACTCTACTTGCGCTATATTGATGACATCTTCATCATCTGGACCCATGGAAAAGAAGCCCTTGAGGAATTCCACCACGATTTCAACAATTTCCATCCCACCACCAACCTCAGCCTGGTCCAGTCCACACAAGAGATCCACTTCCTGGACACTACAGTGCTAATAAACAATGGCCACATAAACACCACCCTATACCGGAAACCTACTGACCGCTATTCCTACCTGCATGCCTCCAGCTTTCACCCTGACCACACCACACGATCCATCGTCTACAGCCAAGCTCTGCGATACAACCGCATTTGCTCCAACCCCTCAGACAGAGACAAACACCTACAAGATCTCTGTCAAGCTTTCTTACAACTACAATACCCACCTGCAGAAGTAAAGAAACAGATTGATAGAGCCAGAAGAGTTCCCAGAAGTTACCTACTACAGGACAGGCCTAACAAAGAAAACAACAGAACGCCACTAGCGGTCACCTTCAGCCCCCAACTAAAACCCCTCCAACGCATTATTAAGGATCTACAACCTATCCTAAAGGATGACCCAACACTCTCACAAGTCTTGGGAGACAGGCCAGTCCTTGCCTACAGACAGCCCCGCAACCTGAAGCAAATACTCACCAACAACCACATACCACACAACAGAACCACTAACCCAGGAACTTATCCTTGCAACAAAGCCCGTTGCCAATTGTGCCCACATATCTATTCAGGGGACACCATCACAGGGCCTAATAACATCAGCCACACTATCAGAGGCTCGTTCACCTGCACATCCACCAATGTGATATATGCCATCATGTGCCAGCAATGCCCCTCTGCCATGTACATTGGTCAAACTGGACAGTCTCTACGTAAAAGAATAAATGGACACAAATCAGATGTCAAGAATTATAACATTCATAAACCAGTCGGAGAACACTTCAATCTCTCTGGTCACGCAATCACAGACATGAAGGTCGCTATCTTAAAACAAAAAAACTTCAAATCCAGACTCCAGCGAGAAACTGCTGAATTGGAATTCATTTGCAAATTGGATACTATTAATTTAGGCTTAAATAGAGACTGGGAGTGGCTAAGTCATTATGCAAGGTAGCCTGTTTCTTCTTGTTTTTTCCTACCCCCCCCCCCCCCCGATGTTCTGGTTTAACTTGGATTTAAACTTGGAGAGTGGTCAGTTTAGATGAGCTATTACCAGCAGGAGAGTGAGTTTGTGTGTGTATGGGGGTGGGGGGGATGTGAGAGAACCTTGATCTATGCAGGAAATAGCCCTACTTGATTATGTAAAGAGTTGTCACTTTGGATGGGCTAGCACCAGCAGGAGAGTGAATTTGTGTGGGGGGTGGAGGGTGAGAAAACCTGGATTTGTGCTGGAAATGGCCCACCTGTTGATCACTTTAGATAAGCTATTACCAGCAGGACAGTGGGGTGGGAGGAGGTATTGTTTCATATTCTCTGTGTGTATATAAAGTCTGCTGCAGTTTCCAAGGTAAACATCTGATGAAGTGAGCTGTAGCTCACGAAAGCTCATGCTCAAATAAATTGGTTAGTCTCTAAGGTGCCACAAGTACTCCTTTTCTTTTTGCGAATACAGACTAACACGGCTGTTCCTCTGAAATGAGTCAACCATGTGACTCAATTGTGAAAAAACCTAATTAAGCATTGGAATAGATTAGCAAGAGAGGTGATGGAATCCCCATCATTCGAGGTTTTTAAGGACAGATTGGACAAACACCTCAGTGCTGGGGGCTGGTCTAGATGCCCTCTCATGGTTCATTCCAGCCCTACCGTTCTACGATTCTATGCTGGGGAAATGTTTGGTCACTTGATTACAGCACTGACCGGCCCCTCCCACTAGCACTAAACCAGCGAGACATTTTGAAACCCTCCCAGTAACAAAGTCTGGGAACCAAATGGGAGAGAAGAGCAGAACAAAGGGAGTGACATTGGGGGATTCCCGCTGACATTGTCCCCAGGGCAGCACACTCCTATAGAAGGGGGTACAGGGAGAGTCAGGAGCTGGCTTTTCCTCCCCCTGCACCTCATCTTGTTCATAGCAAAGTGAATCCGCCCAGGGATGCGGCAATAAGTGTGCGTGGGCCGGTCAGAAATCTGGGAATCTCTCTCCCCAATTATTTCTCCCACTGCCCTTTTCAGTCTCTCTCTCCTTTTTCTCCTTGTGTCTCCCTTCCCCTGTCTCTGGCTGGCAGCCAATTCTGGGGTTTCGCCCTCCTATGGCTGGATCGGCTCCGAAAATTGCTGAGGGGAGGAGAGACATGGGGTGAGGAGGAGCTGTCTGTGCAGAGTCACTTTCATGCCTATTCCCTGCACGTTCCCTGAGGTCTTATCAATCACCTGGAGTCTCTGGCTCAGATGTTGTTGTGGGCAGAGCCTTGGGTTGAGCTATGGGGCTAATTACAGCTGGAGAAAATCCTCACCTTGGCTGGGCACAGAGGAAGCTTTACTCACGGTCACTCCCCAGCCCCGATCCCGCTGGGGGAGCAGCAGCTGCTCAGCCTGGGCTCCCAGATCACAATCGAGGTAGCAGCATCTGACCGAGGAAGCTCAACCCCAATATCCTGAGGCAGAGAAAGTAACTTTCCTCCCTTTAGCAACAACTGAAACCCCCTCCCCACAGGGACACCCCCTGATCGTATCTGCCCCCATGTTAATTTGGAGTCACTCCCTGTTCTGCCTTGCAGTGACTCCGGATTAACACGCGTCTCAGCGAGACCAGAAACGTGGCTCAAGCAGGAGGAGGCCAGACTCCTTTTAAACGGATCATTGCAGCAGGGGATCGAATCTGCTCCCGCCCCCCTCGCTCCCCATGTACTGAGACGGATTCACAGCAACAGTTTCCCATGGCCCCCCGCCGCCTGACCACCCCCCTTCACACCATCTGTCCCTCCCCGACCCCTGGCTCCGGGAGTCTCTGTCCGGGCGGCTGCCCCCAAGGTCTCTTCGCCAATCAGCGAGCGGGGCCCCCTCAGGCGCACCGTTAACCGCCTCCGCCCGTAGGTTGGAGTAACGTCATTTCCGGCCTCAGGTGGGTCAGGAACTACATCTCCCAGCCTGCCCTGGGGCGCTGCCGAACTCTCGGGCCCAGCCCACACAGACCCCCCCCGCCCCACCGTACCTGGCTTGTCAGACGCGGTGACACTGGGTCAGACCCGGGAGGCGGGTTCGGCGGCGATGGCCCTGCCCCCAGCGCGCTGGCTTGCCTGGGACTGAGCATGCGGATTGACCACAGCTGGCGCATGCTCAGTAGTAGCTGCTGAAGCCGCTGCGCCCTCACTCTGCCTTGACCCAAAACTTCCCTACGCGGGATGGGGGAGGGGCGGAGTGTGGGAAGGGGGCGGAGGCTAAGCGGGGGGGGGCAGAACTCCGGCACGGGGAGCGGGAGGGGCCAGGGGGGGTCCTTTTTTACCCCCCCGTGTTGTGTGTGTGTTCTGTGTCATCTCGAGTGTTGTGTGTGACGTGGTGTGTGTCGTGTTGTGTGTCGTCTAGCGTGTGTGTGATATGTTGTGTGTCATTGTGTGTGTCGTGTTGTCTGTATGTGACGTGTTGTGTGTCGTGTGACGTGTTGTGTGTGATGTGTGTGTGACGTGGTGTGTGTTGTGTGTCATTGTGTGTGTCTGTGTGTTGTGTTGTGTGTGATGTGTTGTGTGCCATTTTGTGTGTCGTGTGACGTGTCGTGTGGGTGTGTGACGTGTGTCTGTGTGAGGCGGGTTGTGTGTTGTGTTGTGCGTGTGACATGTGTGTTGTGTTGTGTGTGTCATGTTGTGTGTGTGTGTCAGTGTCATGTGTTTTGTGTGTGATGTTATTTGTGTCATGTTGTGTTGTGTGCCATTTTGTGTGTCATGTGTGTTGTGTCATGTTGTGTGTGTAGTGTTGTGTGTGTGACGTGTTGTTTGTCCTGTTGTGTGTGTGACGTGTGTCATGTTCTGTCTGTGTGTGTCGGTGTCGTGTGTTCTGTGTGTGTGATGTTTTGTGAATCGTGTTGTGTGTGTGTTGTCTTGTGTGCCTTTTGTGTGTCCTGTTGTTTGTGTATCTGACGTGTAGTATTGTGTGTGTGCCTTTGTGAGACTGGTCGTGTATAGTGTTGTGTGCGTGTGATGTGTTGTTGTGTGTGTGATGTGTGTTGTGTGTCATCTCAAGTGTTGTGTGGAGTGTGTGTGTCATGTTATCCGTGTGTTGTGTGTCGTCTAGCGTGTGTGACATGTTGTGTGTTGTGTGTGTGTTGTGTGTGTGATGTTTTGTGTGTCGTGTGTGTGTTGTGTTGTGTGCCATTTTGTGTATCGCGTGACATGTTATGTGTGACGTGTTGTGGGTCTGCGATGTGTTGTGTGTCATGTTGTGTGTGTGTGACGTGTTGTGAAATGTGTGTCGTGTTGTGTAGGTTTGTGTGTGGGTGACGTGTTGTGTGTCGTATTGTTTGTGTCTGTGTGAGATGGGTTGTGTGTTGTGTTCAGTGTGTGTGAGATGGGTTGTGTGTGTGACATTCTGTGTGTGCGTGCGCACATGCAAATTTTGTGCGTGTGCAAAGTGGGACGCATTGTGCATGACGTGTGACACGCAAAGTGCATGCGACACGCAACATGCTCTGTGTGCCATGTCCGACGTGTGATGTGTGGAGTGTGTCTGTTGTGTGTGTTTCTCAGTGTCATGTGTTGTGTGTGTGATGTTTTGTGTGTCGTGTTCTGTGCCATTTTGTTTGTTGTGAGGTGTTGTGTGTCGTGTGTGTGTCGGTGTCGTGTGTTGTATGTGACATGTGTTTCTGTATGTGTGACGTGTTGTGTCTTGTTCTGTGTGTGAGACGTTTTGTCTGTCGTGTTGTGTATATTGTGTTGTGTGCTGTTGTGTGTGTCGTGAGGTGTTGTGTGTCGTGTTGAGTGTGTGTCGAAGTCATGTGTTGTGTGTAATCTTTTGTGTGTCGTGTTGTGTGTGTGCTGTGTTGTGTGCCATTTTGTGTGTCGTGTGAGGTGTTGTGTGCCGTGCTCTGTGTTTCTGTTGGTGTCATGTGTTGTGTGTGATTTTTGTGTCGTGTTGTGTGCTGCTTTGTGTGTCGTGTGACGTGTTGTGTGTGTTGTGGTTTCCATAAGTGTTGTGTTCTGTGTGTGTCGGTGTCGTGTGTTGTGTGTGTGTGAGATGTGTTTGTGTGTGTGAGATGTGTCATGTTGTGGGTTGTCATAAGTGTTGTGTTGAGTGTGTGTGACTTCTTGTGTGTCCTGTTGTGTGTGTGTATTGGTGTCATGTGTTTTGTGTGATGTTTTGTGCATGATCTTTTGTGTCGTGTTGGGTATGTGTTGTGTTGTGCCGTTTTAGGTGTTGTGTGTTGTGTTGTGTGTGTGTGTTGTGTGCTGTTTTGTGAGTCATGGTGTGTGTTTGTTGTGTTTGTGTCGGAGTGTGTTGTGTGTGTGTCGGAGTGTGTTTTGTGTGTGTGTCGGCGTGTGTTGTGTGTGTGTTGGATTGCATTTTGTGTGTGTCGGCGTGTGTTGTGTGTCTTGTGTGTGTGTGTCATCATCTGTGTTGTGTGTGTGTCGTCTGTGTTTTGTGTGTGTGATGGCGTGTGTTGTGTGTGTATGTCAGAGTGTTTGTGTGTGTGTTGTGTGTGTGTCGGTGTCTGTGTGTGTGTTGGCTTGTGTTGTGTGTATGTGTTGTGTGTGTGTGGGCATGTGTTGTGTGTGTGTTAGCGTCTGTGTGTGTGTTGTGTGTGTTGGCGTGTGTTGTGTGTGTGTGTATCGGAGTATTTTGTGTGTGTGTGTTTGCGTATGTTGTGTGTTGTGTGTTTGTGTCGGTGTGTGTTGTGTGTGTGTCTGGGCATGTGCTCTGTGTGTTGTGTGTGTCGGCATGTGTTGTGTGTGTGTGTTGTGCGTGTGTGTCGGCGTGTGTTTTGTGTGTGTCGGCATCTGTTGTGTGTGTGTTGTGTGTGTGTCTTCATGTTGTGTGTGTGTGTGTGTCGGAGTGTGTTGTGTGTGTCGTCATCTGTGTTGTGTGTATGTTGGCATGTGTTGTGTGTGTGTGTTGGCGTGTGTTGTGTGTGTGAGATGGCGTGTTTTGTGTGAGTGTGTTCTGTGTATGTAGGAGTCTGTTGTGTGTGTATGTCGGAGTGTTTTGTGTGTGTGTGTGTGTGTTGTGTGTGTGTCGGAGTCTTTGTGTGTGTGTGTGCGTGTGTTGTGTGTGTCAGTGTGTGGTGTGTGGTGTGTGTGTGTTGGCGTGTGTGTTGGCGTGTGTTGTGTGTGTGTCAGCGTGTGTTGTGTGTGTTTGTTGTGTGTCGGCGTGTGTGTGTTGTGTGTGTGTTGCCGTGTGTTTTGTGTGTGTGTTGTGTGTGTGTGTCAGCGTGTGTTGTGTGTGTCGGAGTGTGTTTTGTGTGTGTGTTGTGTGTGTGTGAGACGGCGTGTTTTGTGTGTGTGTGGGCATGTGTTGTGTGTGTGACGGTGTGTTGTGTGTGTGTGTGAGATGGCGTGTGTGTGTGTGAGATGGCTTGTGTTGTGTGTGTGTTTGTGTGTGTGTCGGAGTGTGTTATGTGTGTGTGTTATATGTGTGTTGCATGTGTGTGTTGACGGCGTGTTGTGTGTGTGTGTGTGTGTGTGATAGAAGTTGGGGAAAATTACACCTCCTCTGATGCCATAGGCTTCACGGCTCCACACTGGCTGATGGGAGAGAGAGGCTGTGGAGAACTACATCTTCCATGGTGCCTTGGGCCTCCCAATGCTTGATGGGATACAGGACAGGAAAAAACTACATATCACATAGGGCCCCGGACCCCGCAATGGCTGATGGGAGATGAAGGCCGAGAGGAACACTACCACTCCCATCGGGCCCCGGGCCCCGCAATGGCTGATGGGAGATGTAGGCCGAGAGGAACACCACCATTCCCATCGGGCCCCGGGCCCCGCAATGGCTGATGGGACATATAGGCCGAGAGGAACACTACCACTCCCATCGGGCCCTGGGCCCCGCAATGGCTGATGGTACGTGAAGGCCGAGAGGAACACTACCACTCCCATGGTGCTGCAGGCTACGCGATTGCTGATAAGACGGTGCTAAATTACCCACAATGCACTGCATCTCGTCCTTTCTGCCCCGCGTGTGGGGGTCGGGGAGGAGGAGTCCGCGGTTAATCCGCTCCTCCTTCCCCTCATCCTACCCGGCCTGGCAGCTGCCTGGGACCGAGGCCGCCATGAGCAAGCGGAAGGCGCCGCAGGAGAGCCCCAACGCGGGGATCACGGACTTCCTGAGTGGTGGGTCGGGCGAGCGAGTGAGGGCTGCGCCGGGCTCCGGGAAGCGGGGCGGGGGTTCGCTGTTGGCGCTCGGCGGGCGTGTGACGGGCTGAGCTGAGGCCGCTGACCCCGAGCCGCGCTGGCCCCGAGCCGCGCTCGCCCGCCAAGGGGGAGCCCGGGCCCGCCCGGGGTCGTTAACCCGCCCGCGCTTCCGTGAGAGCGGGTTCGGAGCGAGCGGTCAGCCCCGAGCGCGAGTAAGAAATGTCTCTGTGTCTCTTCCCATTGCCCCGGGCCGCAGAGCTGGCGAACTACGAGAGGAACGTGAACAGAGCCATCCACAAGTACAACGCGTACAGGTAGGGGCGCCAGCGAGCCGGCCGGGCATCGCCTTGCCCTCCGAGCCCTCCCGGGGTCCCTTCTCCTGGGTGCACGGGAACCTGCTGCGGGCCCAGTAGCATTCAGCACGGGTCGGTAGCTGGCTAAAAGACAGGAAACAAAAGGTAGGAAAAAATGGCCCGCTCTCGGAATGGAGGGGGGTAAATAGTGGTGTCCCCCAGGGGTCTGGTCTGGGCCCAGTCCTGTTCAACACATCCATAAATGATCTGGAGAAAGGGGTGAACAGTGAGGTGGCAGCATTTTCAGATGATACAAAACTACTCAAGAGAGTTCAGCCACAGGCAGACTGCGAAGAGCTACACAAGGATCTCGCAAAACTGGGTGACGGGGCTACAAAATGGCAGATGAAATTCAGTGTTGATAAATGCCAAGTAATGCACATTGGAAAACATCATCCCAACTATACATATAAAACGATGGGGTCTAAATTACTTGTTATCACTCAAGAAAGAGATCTCAGTGTCATTGTGGATAGGTCTTTGAAAACATCCACTCAATGTGCAGCGGCCATCAAAAAGGCAAATAGACTGTTGGGAATCATTAAGAAAGGGATAGATAAGACAGAAAACATTATATTGCCTCTATATAAATCCATGGTACGCCCACATCTTGAATGCTGCGTGCAGATGTGGTTGCCCCATCTCAAAAATATATATATTGGACTTGGAAAAGGTTCAGAAAAGGGCAACAAAAATGGCTTCCGTATGAGGAGAGATTAATAAGACTGGGACTTTTCAGCTTGGAAAAGAGACAGCTAAGGGGGGATATGATTGAGGTCTATAAAATCATGACTGGTGTAAAGAAAGTAGATAAGGAAGTGTTGTTTACTACTTCTCATGACACAAGAACTAGGGGGTCACCAAATGAAATTAGTAGGCAGCAGGTTTAAAACAAATAAAAGCAAGTATTTCTTCACACAATGCACAGTCAACCTGTGGAACTCCTTGCCAGAGGATGTGAAGATGAAGACTATAACGGGGTTCAAAAAAGAACTAGATACATTCATGGAGGATAGGTCCATCAATGGCTATTAGCCAGGATGGGCAGGGATGGTGTCCCTAGCCTCTGTTTGCCAGAAGCTGGGAATGGGAAACAGGAGATGGGTCAGTTGGTGATTTCTTGTTCTATTCATTCCCTCTGGGGCACCTGGCGTTGGCTACTGGGGGAGACAGGATACTGGGCTAGATGGACCTTGGGTCTGACCCAGTATGGCCGTTCTTATGTTCTTACATTTAAGCTAGGCTCAGGGTCTCAGCCAGATTCTGATTTGATTAACTGTGTTCTGCAATCTTAAAATCCCAGTTCAGCCAGACATTTCATTATGCACCTAATGAGATCTAAATTTTTGGAAATTTAGATGGCATTTTAAAAAAAACCTGGGGGGGGGTGGTTCTGCCTGTTCTTCCCCCCCCCCCCCCCAAAAAAAAAAAATTGAAATATCTATAGTAATTATTTGCTTATTGAAACTAAAATCTTATTTTTGGAGACTGAGGAATGCGTTCTTCATAAATTAGTTAGCATATGAAGTGCTGTTTGGTATATTGATGAAATAGGTATAAATTATTTAGTTTTGATTTGAATAATAATAAACAGGGGAAAAAAATACAAAACGTTTGAAAATAGAAAACATCAGTATTGTTGTAAGCCAAAAGGAAAGTTTATATCCTTTATGCTCAGAAATAGTATGTAAATAGACCTGACATTATCATGCAGATACAGGAGAAACTTGTGCTTCCAGAGAAGAAGCTTGGAAAATGTCTGTCCGTATAATGTAGGTAACAGAGCATGATATTTAAGGATCAACAGTAAATTCAGGTAGATATCCGAACTTTATAGTAACAACAACACCAGATTCTTTAATAGTGTATTATCATCACATATATGCTAAGTGTCAAAATAGTAGACAAACTAGCTGTTCTGTGAACCTGTGTAATATAACTTAGTCTCATTCAAGCTTTTCCTTCTTTCCTTTCTCTTTCACTGTTCATTCTGAGAGAAACTATTTCACAAGTTTCTCTTCCTATTTTTCTAAGCTGGGCCTTGGGGTTGGGGGAAATGGAAAAAATGTCCCCTTCTCTCCCCTGAAAATGTCTGAGGTGGCTAAGCAGATTCCTGTAAGTAGTTTTTGTAAAGTGCTTCTGACTAACAGGTTCTTTTGTAAATTTAAGTTAGCATTGCTGTTTACCTTATTTATAAAAATCCATATGTGAGCCCCTTATGTTAAAGTACATAATTGTTACTGATTGGTTTGAGGAAAGTGGTATTCAGGTTGCTGTATGCTGAGCTTTTTCTTTTTTGTGAGGTCTCATATTCCTGGTGCATGAGTAATAGGGGGGTAGTTACACAAATGCCACTGCTCCAGGATGGAACCACACAAACTGCATTGTATGGAGGGTGTATACAAAATTTTTTGTCTGGTCATTTGATACTGTTCACTGAAGGCTGGAAAGTGAATGGAACTGTCATTTTTTTTATACAGAAAAGCAGCTTCTGTAATATCCAAGTATCCAAGCAAGATAAAAAGTGGAGCTGAAGCAAAGAAGCTGGTAAGCTGTAAAACAGATTATAATGTTTTGTCAGAGTTCCTCTCATCCTCACAGCTGAATTCCATTTTTGTGTTAATATTTTAGTACATTACAATATATATTATCATAGTTCTAGTTGAGGAGACCCAAAGATATGCTTTATTACTGCATTTTCTCAGACTTCAGAGGTTGAAATTTAGTGCAGGAATTGTAAATATTGCTAAAAGCCCATTTTGAAATTTCACTGTAAAACAGGGAAACTTACAGTGCGCTTCTGTTGCTCATAAGGCTGCTGCTTACAATTATGAACATTAGCAAAATATTGTCTTGTAAGTTTGATTGTGTTTCTGTTTTGCAAGTTTCTGAATTTAGTTTTTCCATAATGTCTGTGATGCTAGTTATCCTGAAGAAAAAGTTTCATTCACTTTTTGGTTCTGTTTCCTTTTTTAGGAAGGAGTAGGGGCTAAAATAGCTGACAAGATCGATGAGTTTTTATCCACTGGAAAACTACGTAAGCTTGAAAAGGTGAACCTCTTTGGCTTTCTTCTCTGCGGGCAATTTTTTTGTACCTTCCAAGGCTTCCTGCTAACTCCATGCAACTTCTTTACTGTTTTTGGAAAGGCTGAGGCGAAGCAGGAGGGAGATGCATGTAGATTACCAGGGGAGTAGAAATAACGAAATAGGTATACAAAAACAAAAAATCCTGAAATAAAATTGTACCTCTCTGGAAATATTACAGGATATGATCAGTTTGCCTGCCTGTTCTGTCCGGCAAATTGATGAAGTGGGTTCTCGTGGAAGTTTGTTTTTAGCCGGGGCCACCTACCTTAGTCTGCACAGACACGTAGAAAGCTTCCTGCACATGGCTTTTCCCAGTGTACGTTAGTCCTGGCCTGCAACACCCCATCTTGTTCTGCCAGTGGATCTAAAACCTGACCAAGTCTCTCTTATGTACTTATTTCCAACTTACACAGTTTACTTCAGTATATAGAAAGGTTCAGACAATGGCTTTAAAAATGTGTTTGTAAATCTGAATAGACATGTAAGCGAAAACTAAAAAGGACTCTTCTCCCTCCACTAAAAAAAAAACCAGCCTCACTTAAAACCTTATAACATCCCTCTGAGTATCAAACTCTCTTCTCTGAAACCAAAGAAGGAAGTGAATTCTAGAGCCAAGGGCCGCTGAAAACCACCTATCCAGATTCTTTCAGAGCGGATATAGACAATCATGGCATGAGTCTGTGATGTGTAGGTAATAGGTCAGATCTAAAAAGACTACAGCAACTTTCAAGTGCAATAACTCACTGAGTTACTTTATCTTCCTGTGACTTTTCAAGTGAATTAGAGTACAGTCTCTTTTCTCCAGATTCGACAGGATGATACAAGCTCATCTATCAATTTCTTGACCCGAGTTAGTGGCATAGGGTAAGAATTTTTTTGTATGCTTCTATCTACTTGTAGAGTTACTAACAGCAGTGTAGAGATTGAGGGTTTGAATAAAGAATATGGAGATTGAGTTGGCACCAGGACATCCAAAGTGAGACATTGGAGATTCAAGGCTGAGCCCAGGGGAAATGTACATTTGGGAAATGACAATGAAGAGATGGTAGCAGTCACCTGCTTATAACATAGAGGGAGAAAAGAGGAGCAGAGCCCTGAGAGATACTGATGAGCAGGATTGGAGAGGGGGAGCAGCTTCCAAAAGGAATCTGAAGGAGCTACTGAAGAGGTAGGAGGAACTTGTGTTGATGACAAACCACTTTAGCCTTTCCATGGCAAACTTTTTAAGGCGAGTAACATTGTTCTCTTGCATGTCGGGAAACCAAGGCACAAGAAGGTTAAGTGACTTGTCCGAAGTCACTGTTAAAGCTGGGAATAGAACCCAGGTCTTCTGACTCCCATTCTCTTCCTCCATTTCCTGGTCTAAGTAAGCAGTGTATGCCAAGTTGAGGGAGAATGAATATAAGAAATGGCTTTGGTACTGGAGAACTAGGTGCCTGATTATAAACTTCAGTGTAATCTGTTAGTAAATTCTGGTGTATTGTACTACTGTGTGATGTAACATTTTCTGCTGGAGAGGTTTCCCTGTGTTGATTTGGTTAAGAAGTGCCCTGTCTCTTTGCAGCCCTTCTGCAGCTAGGAAGCTTGTAGATGAAGGGATAAAGACATTGGAAGGTGAGTGTACCATAAAGTGTACTGATTTCAGAGCCTTTGATTGGAAAAATGTGGAAAGGTTATGACTCAAGTTGTGAAAAACTGGTCGCTGCATAAATGACAGCAGTTATACAATTAAGGATAGGCATTCAGCATTCCAAAGCTTGAGTCAGTGCAGGGAAGAAAGGCATCAGATAAATTTTCAGATGGGGTTTCTCCCAAAATATGGGGAAAATGAAAATGATTTCGTTTGAAGAAACGGGCTTTTTCAATTATTTCTTCTAGTGCGGCAGTCTCTGAAGTACATGGCTTTGGTAGTACATGTGTGCTTACGTTGCATAAGCGTGATTCCACTGACACTGCATCCGTCCCTTTCTTTTGGTTCAGCGCCTAAGAGCTGAAGATAGGATTGCTGCCTGTTGTGATAGCTCTGTGGACTTTTTTCTTTTTTTTTTTCTTTTTTTTTTTTTGTGAAAACTGCCATTTTCTTTTAAGGTCTTCTACTTTGATGGATACTTTAATTGCAACTTAAATATTTTTGCCTGGGAACATAAAGAAGTTTTTTGGGACACAGGTCTCTAGGCTAGTAGATAAGACCCCTTTCTTCCCAGGTTGCCCAGCCCATCTCTCCCTCCTGCTCACCCTCATGTTAGGCCACTGCTGCCCCTCTTAATTTCTCCTTGGCAGTTTTTAAATCAGGATCAGATATTTCTTTAAAAGATGTGATTTGGTTCAAAAGGAATTATGTTGGGGAAGTTCTATGGGCTGTTATACTGGAGGTCAGACTAGATGATCATAATAGTCCTTTCTGGCCTTGGAATTTATGATGTCATAAACTATATATTGTGGCCCATCATGTATGCAGAAACTGATTTTGGTAACTAGCTCTGCCAACAAACTGCTCCAAAACCAGTTCAAGTTACCATTCTTGCCAACAGACTAAAACAAATGTGGGGTTTCTAGGCCAAGCCATTTTGGAGATATATCAAGCTGGGGAAATGATCCTGGATTGGCGCTCCCCTCCTTTTTTGAACCTCATATTTTATCTTCACATAAGATCACACCTTGTCAGTCAGCACAGCCCTTGGACTGTGGTAACTTGCTCCAGAGGCTGTTTCAGTCTGGGATGGTCCAAACCAAAAGACCACCTTCTGCTTCAGCTGTTCCCATACAGCTGAAGGTTTGGCCCTTTATAAATGTAGAAATCAAGTGTGCACTGAGCACGGTATTAAACATTACAATGACTACTCCTGACTGATTTTTTTTTTTTTTTCCAAGTTCACTATTTCCTAATAGTTTTGCTCAGTGACTAGAAGTGACTTCTTAGGTGCAACTAAGTGAGACTTTTCATCTGGGAGGAGTCAGGGTTTTATGTGGGTTTTGCAGAGGATGGGTTTTGTGGTGGAGTTTTGTTTGTTTTGGAGGAATTAAAGAGCCCCAGTCAAGCCAGAGGAGAATTCTCCCCTGAGCAGGCTTTTTGCTAGTCATTTTATGCTGCCCTGCAATGCCCTTGCTGCAAACGGTGGCATAAGGGGTGTGTCCTGGCATAGGGGTGTGGTTTTGGTAGATGCTCCTACATTCATTCTGTGAGCCATAGGGCAGCCTCCTCATAATTTACAAGCACAACAAAAACTTTTTTTTTGTTTCTCTTTAAAGTTGGTATTGTCTAAATGCTCTTGAGTTAAATCATCTTTACAATGCATGCAAATATCTACTTGCTAAAGTTATTTTCCTCCTCTTGAGTCCTTTTTCTGTCATTCTGCTTCTTCCAGATCTAAGGAAAAATGAACACAAGCTGAATCATCATCAGCGAATTGGGCTAAAGTAAGACAGTTTCATTTTCATGGACGTAGTTGCTTGGCTTCTGTAAAAAGTTCTTTCAGAGGCCAGTACACTCTTTAAGTTTATAGCAACCATAAGTAGCATGCTTAATAGGTAAGATCCAGTTCCATCCCCTGTTCTACCCTTTTCTCAGTTGCTCATAACTTACCCAAACCAATTTGTTTAGGTATGAAATTAGCTGTGACTGGTCCCGGTCCAAAGATGCATTGTTTTAGAAAGGTTTAGTCAGCTCAGCCCATCCACTTTTGAGTCATTAAAGGCGCGGGAAAAAACAGGCTTTTCCTCTCCTGTTCTGATTTGAAATCTTGTGTCTGGATCACTGAGAGCCTAAATTCTAGAAAAATTGATGGCTTGGGTTGCCTCTGACCACTGGCTAAGGAAAGCTTTCTGTTTGCTGCTGAGTCAATTCTTAAAGCCATGTAGTTCTTGTCCCCTTTGGAAGGCTGCAGAAGAAACTCCTGATACAATATTCCTGTACGATAGAAGTACTTCCTCTCCCCTCTGAAATCAGTTTTAATGGTGGTGAAAGGGAGGACTTACGGCGATGGGAATTTCTGAGGTGTCTGAGACTAGCAAAAGGAACCTATCATCTCTGGCTTGCTATCACAGTCTAGGTTATTAGTTTCTAATCAATCAGTTTAATGTAAAATGTATGGAATTTTATCTAATCTTTGCTTGGTTAAATTTTAAATGCACTGCCTTACCCATCGTCATTCAACTTTTTTTTATCTGTACAGATATTTTGAAGACTTTGAGAAAAGAATCCCTAGAGAAGAGATGTTACAGATGCAGGTAAGATATAATCTTCCTCGACAAAGCAAGGCAATGAGAACAAATGAAGAGGGCAGCTCAGATTATTTGACGTGGCTCTTTTTTTTTCTCAATAGGAAATTGTATTGAAAGAGGTTAAGAAACTGGACCCCGAATATATTGCTACAGTCTGTGGCAGTTTCAGGCGAGGTTGGTACTCCACCATGCCATCACATTTACATCATGGATCTAGAAGTCAAAATTTATTGACGAATGTCTGAATTGTGGACCTTAAGGTTTTTTTTAATTTGTACTAATGTGCAGAGCCCTTAATGCAAAGTCTGTTACACTGACCAGATGGAATAAACTTATTTCTTGCTCTTTGCTTAGACTGAATAGTTCGGTTGGTACATATAAGGCTATGGGTGTGATATAAAAAGAAGCAGAGTAGGATGCTGCGAACTGTAAAACCAAAGAATAGTTCCCTTTAAATTTTCCTTCTCAGAACTCTCACACCTGCTCCAGAATTACTCTCTCTGGAGTTTTTCTTATTACTGATGTGCAGACATAGCATAACAGAACCTTGCTAATTCACACAAATAATAAACACCCATTGAAAATTACTGAAATTTGCAAAATAGGAAGTCAACCAACTCAATTAAAAAATCAAAGCTAAAATATCATAAAATGTGACGAGTTCATTTATTTTGGCATCTGTAGTTTAATCTTTTTTGATTATTTCTACTGGTGTGGTATGAAGCATAAGAAACCTCACTACATTCGTCTATTAATAATTTGCTGAGCAGTGAGGGGTCGACTGTAATATTTTGTGTGAATTATGTATGAGGTCCTCGAGCTTAAAAAATGAAAACTTTATAAATGTCATTGTCCATAATCAGTCACTGTTCATGCCAGTCGTAAAAAGTCTAGCCTTCTAATGAAGAAAGACTTATGAAGACTTGCGTATATGTTCTGATCCACAATTTAAATTTTATTTTAAATATACCTATGCCAGATGTAGATTTGGTACAAAATAGTTGTTAAGCAGTTTAGAAGTTGTTCTTACTCAAAATTGTGTTTATTAAATAACAGTGATCTGTCTTTAAACACCATGAGACTATATAAACATTAAGAATAAGAGGCACACGCTTTGCTGTGTAATCAAGTAGTCAAAGTACGAACTTGGTTGGCTGGCCTCTGTGGAGTGAGTCGGTGATATCCAATAAAAAGTATCCACATCTCGCAGGTTGCCACCAAAATCGGTATTAATTGATAAATGCTTGACAGTTTCATCAGAGAGTCCCATGAAAATTCATCCGCTTCTTAGCTCTATTGGAGTCTCCTGTCATAGTCAATATGTAAGAGTCAGTTTGTTTCAGTGCGTTGTCTTGCACAAATGTAAACTGATGAGGGATCTGCAGATGCATCCCACATGTTAAACCGATGTGGCTTCATGTTTTGTGTTTTTGTTTTTTTTTTACCGAAGCCTGCTTTCTTTGCTCATGTTTCTGACTCTTTTTTCTCTTCTGCTATTCTTGATGGCTTTAATTGCAGACCGACAGGTCTGCTGCCATCCTAATTTCTCAGCACCAGCAATTTCCGATGTGTTCGGGTCGACGTGGCCAGCTTTTAAGTGAGCTTTCAGAGTGTCATGTCATTTTCATTGGCCTCTCAGTGTAGCTGCTCCTGTTTTCAGTGGTCCTTACACAACTCCCCAAAGCCATATTTTGTCATCCGTATGTACAAGGTGATCAGCCCAGCAAAATTGCGCCTGTCTGATTCGGAATTCAGTGCTAGTTATGTAGCACTGGTCCAGGACTTCAGTTTTTGGTGTCCTGTCCAACCATTTGATTTTACAGATGAGATGCATACAGCACATGTGAAAACTCTAGTTGCTTCAAGTGCCTGCCATAGTGTCAGTGTTTCACTCCTTTGGAGAAGAGTGCTTAACATAACTGCATGGTAGACACTCATCTTGGTGTGAAGTCGAATGTCTATCTCATTCCACAGGCAGCAGCAAAGTCAAGCATAGGCAGAACTGGCTTTAGAAATGCACTGCGTGATTTCATCGTCAATCATGGATGGCATTATCGGATGATGAAGTGCTGCCAAGATAGCGCAATTTTTGTACCGCATTAAGCACACTGTCATCAATTGTTATTTCAACGGCAGAATATGTTTTTCTGGGAGCAGTCTGGTAAAGCCCTTTGGTTTTCTTGAGGCAGATAGAGTCCAAATAGTTTTGCCGATCTAGAAAAGCCATCTATCGGGTGCTGCATGTCTTGGACGGTATGTGCTGTGAGCGCAAATCATCAGTGAAGAGGAACTCCCTAATGAACAAGTTAGTTGCTTTAGTGTGAGCACAAAGACCCCAGAGATTGAAGATGCTGCCATCTGTGTGGAATTGCATTTAAATACTCCAGCTGTCATCTTTGGAAGAGTCTAGGACAATGGTAAATGGTCCCTGCTTTACACTGTTTGTGACACAGGCTCTGATGAAGCACCATTTTCCAGCTCTTTAGCCAGCATGAATGCGTGTACGATGGTTACAAATTTTTGTGGCCAGCTTAGGTCATGATCCATCAGAGACCCTCCTGACTAACCATGTCAAAGGCTTTGATCAGGTCTACAATCACCATATAGAAATCACAGTTTTGTTCCCAGCACTTTTCCTGTGTTTCGCAAGCAGCAAAAGTCATGTCCGCTGTTCTGTGTCCCAAGCGAAAGCCATGCTGATGCTCTGAAATGATGTTATTGGTGATGTGGAAGAGTCTGGCAAGCAAGACACAAGCCAAAATCTTCCCAGCAATGGAAAGTAGCAAGATACCACGATGGTTGTTGCAGAGTGCTCAATCATCTTTATTTGTATGTATGGACAGCTGAAGCACTCTTGAAGTCTTGAGGCATGGTCTTCTGCTCCCAGATGTTGAAGAGCCGCATGAGCATTTCAGATGTTTGATAACCACTATGTTTATAGACTTCTGGCAGTATTCTATCTAAGCCAGGCACCTTTCCTTGTGACAATTGTTGGTTGGCTGTTTCTGTCTCAATAACACTGGCAGTCTAGTGAGTCCTTCATGTATTGGGAACTGTGGTACACCATCGATAGCAGCTTTTGAAATTGCAGATGGACGATTAAGTAGACAAAGTGTTTGGCCCAGCGATGGATGATGTCTGTGTGTCGTATAGTGCTGTCTTCGCTATGGATGGGAATGCTGCCACAAGATAATGCACATACAGTACTCGACTCATTGCGTGAGGCACATAAAGCATGGTTATCTGACAAGACTTTGATCACTAAGAAAGCCACCTGTCACGGTTCTAAACAATCTGCTCTGTCTAAGATGTGTAAAATAAGTTTGGTGGAAGCACACAGCAGAAAATATTCAACAGGCTGCAGAAAGACCTTAAATGCTTTTACTATCAATTGAAAATGGTTTTTGGTCCCTTACGTCACTTCTTAGTGTTAGCACATTAGGGTTGAGATAGTTTAGAGGCTGTCCTATTAATCATAGACTCAGAAATGTAGGGTTGGAAGGGATCTCGAGAGGTCATCTAGTCAAGCTCCTTGTGCTGTGGCAAGACAAGTATATACTTGCACCATTCCTGACAGGTGTTTGCTACCCTATTATTAAAAAACTTAACTATTCTGTGCTAGTTCTGCGGATAGAGGAGCTTCTCTTCTTTTCTTCAGCACTAAGATTCAAACGCAACCCTCTGTGATCTGTTCTTTACTGATATCAAGACTTACAGCTAGGTGTGTTTTTGTTTTTGTTTTTTTCCCTTCACTCTTTACTTTCTCAGGTGCGGAATCAAGTGGGGATATGGATATTCTCCTGACCCATCCAAGTTTTACTTCTGAATCGACCAAACAGGTGCCTGTCTTTATACAACTTATTACTGTTTAAAAGCTGAGTTTATAAACTTTTATCAGGAGCTCATAGAATCATAAATTCCTTTGCATTTGGGTTCATATTACAGCTTTTTGCATTTATTCATTGACACCATAATAACTTCATAGTTTATTAATAAAATCCTGAATATATGATCTAAGCATTAGATTAGGGAATTTGCAAACTACCCTTCATGTGTATGGATGTTACGTGTTTTCATAATTTTGTAGAAGTTTTTTGCATAACTATTATATATGCTAAAGAAATTTCACATAATGAACACAATGTGTACAGGCCTGGCTCAATACCTAGTGCTTTGCACTGCAGCGAGGAAGATAAAGTTTATTTCAGTCTCTTGCTCCTCAGGCCACCAGGGAATTAGTACTTAGTCCCTGTGGGGAAAAGGGCATGATCCCTTTTGCCTAATACTACAGACATGCTCAAAAGTGCTTGCTGTTTGCAGCTGGAAGGACAGTGGCCAGGACCATGGAGGGCACAGGGTCATGACACAGCTGCTTGTTCAGTGTAATGTGCTTGGTATCTTATTTATAAATTGAGTGTACTTTTCTGTAGCATTATAGTGATCCTGATTTATATCAAGACAAAAAAAAAAGCCCTGCCTTCTTTAAGACCATATGCAGTTTTGGCATAAAAATAGGATTTTATTATTTTGTAACCAAAAATAGCTACATTCGGAACAGTCCCCCACCCCTCCCCAAAAAAGCATTTGTGTTTTAAAAAGGAAAAACATTGTCTCACAAAATGTTTAATGCAGGCTTGACTATTGTATCTGAAGCTATGAGCCTCTTATGGGGCACACCAAAAATCTTGTTAATTTACTTACCAGTGTCATTACACTCTGTTCCAGAGTTTCTTTATTCTACTGGCAAGCTACACAATTAAAGTGGAAGTAATGGATTTAAAGTGTCCACCAGTAGCAAAGTTTTTATCAATTTTTTTTAAATCGGTGTCTCTCTCTTCCACTCAGTTTCACAGACACTGAGGGTGGAAGCTCAGCAGAGGACGACGGCAAACTTAAAGTAGTTGAGTGACCCTGTAATTTTATGCACCCAAATGTTTTGTTTAAGTGTAACCTCAACTTTTTAGAATTTCCAGGATGACATTTTCTGAGGTGTTTTGAAAGAATTGCATCGTTCTCTTCAGGAATTTTTCCTGTTACGTAGTTGCATATATTTATATGTTTATCACACTTTAATCACTATTTTTTTAAAATAGGTCTTAAAGAGGAACGAGGTACCTTTTTGTATGGAGGGAACCAACAGAATGGGAAACGAGTCTCCCACCAGATATGCCACAGAACAATCTTTAACTGTCACTGAAAGTTGGCAGTGCTATTCTTTAGTTTTTACAAGAGAATATTTCTAGATTAAATCAAAGCAGATGCTAATGGACCTATGGAAACTAGCAATCCACAGAAACACAGAAGGTCATTAATTTAGAAATGTAAGGTTTAAAATTGTACAACAAGTTTTGTCAAGTCTAATGAAAATACTTCAGTGCTCTTCTTTGTCTGGCAATACAATATAGATTTGAGAGAACAATTTTCCTTAACCAGATTCTCAAGTATTGATTTATTTCTGGTATGTAGTTTCTGCCCAAGTCTCAGAATCTGGTCCTGAAAAAATATTTTCCGTCAATGAGATCTCCTTGGTTTTCACAAGGACGTATTGTACGTCTGTGGGTCACGTTGTTGGTAAACAAACAGGTTCCTCTTTCTTAGTTAGGTAATGTTTCATTTCACTTTGTTTACATTTGACATTAATTATTGTTTCCAGCCAAAGCTTTTGCACCAAGTTGTAGAACAATTGAAAAAAATCCACTTTGTCACTGACACATTGTCAAAGGGTGATACGAAATTCATGGTGAGTCTTCTCTGAATATTTCATGTAAAAGGCAGTATTTCTGTGATTTGATATACAAGAAATATGCTGCTTACTGTTTAAAAATGGAAAGTTTATGCAGTAACTCAGAGTAATAGTTGGCTTTTTGTTGTAGGATGTTAATATTATAACAATCTGTTTGCAATAACTAAAGGATAGAATTTTTTTCCCAAGAAGCATTTTATCCCATTGTGTTTATATTTAAAAAAAAAAAAAAAATCTCTCAGCTACATGTGTGGAAATGTTGGTAGTGAACATTCTTTTTGTAGATTAATGTGTGGTTTTGCATTTTTTAAATTGTAAAAAACCAAACAAACAATACAAAAAACAAGTAGTATGTAAGGCGTGCAAACTCTAAATCCTATCCCCAGGTGACTTACTATCCAGTATGTCATAATGTTCACCACATCTCCATCCACCCTACTAACTACTATACTCACTTTCTAATTCTTTTAATGCTTCCCACCCACTGACCTATCTTTTCCCTTCTCATGCCCCATTACACACCTCTTTTACTACACCTACCACACATCTTAGGCCAGATTTGCAGACTCAGAGTACATTCCCACCTTGCTGTCACTGCTTGTAGCCCATAATGCACTTTCAGCTCCTTCAGCCTACACCAGATGATGATCCTGAAATTTGTCTTGAATTCACAGTTTGGTCTAGATAACCATATATTTGATGTGAAACTCTCCAAGATTCAGAGGAACCATCTTCTGCTGTGATAATAGCATCTGTTACTTGAAGATGTAGACTGCTCTGTATGAGTTTCTGTATCATCCTCTTGAGTTCTGGATGCCAGTTTATGGCATATGAGACATTTGTGGCTAAGCTTGGACATCTTTCTATGAATTTCACATAAAAATCAAAGTAAAGGAATCCCGGACTTCTTCCGGGCTTGACATTCAGAAGTAGGGCATTCCTCTGAAAAATTCCTTCTGAAGTCAAACCATGAAGTATTATAGAACAGAACAAGAAAGGAATCTTTGACCGCAGAATAGCCCTGAGGGTTTATGACCAGTCTTACACTTATTGTAATGTACCTTATCAGGATACAGACCCTTAAGCTAAGCACTCCTTTTTGTCTGGAAGAACAAGCTGAGGTCTTGTTTTCCAAAAGAGAAGTTGGGGTTTTTTTTAGGGCTTTTTTAAGTATTGAGTGAGTGCTATGATGATTTACTTCCACCTGGAGTTTTGTCTCTACAGGCTCCAAATACCTTGTTCTTAAAGACCAGTGAAAAGTTAATCCCAACAGATGAGTAAAACCATAAGCAACAGTTCCACTCAATCATTGATATTCGCTTAATGATGATCTTCGGAAGCCAGAGATTTGTGGGACTGGTGTTGCTGGGCATGCTGTGGGAATCCACTTTTTGCTAAATGATCACCGTTAAGTTTATATGAAACCATTATATTTGGATAAATCATAGAAAAGAATGTAAAATATGAACCAGGATCCTACACAGAAACTATTTCAAGTGGGTATAAATATCTATTCTTGAAACTTATGAGGCTGTTACAGAGGGAAGGGTATTATCAGATGGTTCCGTATATTTTCACTTGAAGTAAAGGGGATGAGAATCAGAAATGGATTTCTGTGCTCACCTCAGTTGAACTCTGTATAGTTCCTTGTGAAATTAAACTTGTTGGTTTTCCTGGCGTTTCTTAGAAGGATAAAATCAGTGAAGTTGTTACCCTCCGTGCTCCTGGGACAAAAAAAAATAGAGTAAAATTAAATTGAACTTCATCCCAATACTCTGGGCTATTTCCACTTGCTAATTTAATAGAATGGCTCTTATTGATGAAGAATACATGCAGGATAGCTGCTCGATTGCCCCAGACTATGTAGTGTATATGTGTATGTACTTATGTGGGGCTTTCAAGTAGCAAAAGGAGGAGAGGGAGGACTTTATCAGCCACAGCAGATCAGTGAAAGCCACATTTAGAGAAGGGCCTTTATATTAGCAGAAGCTGCAGGGTCCCACCCAAAGTGGTGACCATTGATAATCCACCAGCTGGGTATTTTATCCACTGTTGTTAGACTAATAGGTAAAACCACCTGGAACACCAGTTTGTGGGATAAGCTCTTTCAAATGGAACTAGATCTATGCCAGAAACTGGTCACGCTGGGATTTATGTCTGGCAAACTAAAAAGAATTCTGTAGAGTAGCAGTGAATTGTCTGGTGTCTCACTCTAACCTAGGATATTTCCATTTTCCGTCCTCTTAGCCCCAGAGCTCCTCTGATCAGAAATATTTATATTTTCTGCTAAGGACAGTGTTTGATAGGAAACAAAGTGGTAACATTTTTGACTGTAATAACTTCATTTCTTCATGTCTCCACTACATGTTCTAGTCTTTGTTTTTAAAAGACGCACCAAAAATCAGTGAATTGTATCTCCCTTTCAAAGCTATTAAATAAGTGATGGTGGATTTGAGATGAAATTCAATTTCTGTAGGAATAACTGCTACTTCACCTTGGCCAGCTCTTCTGGTATTAGTACCAACTTGCTCTAAACTTAAATCTTGACCAATAGCATTTCCAATATACAAGTCTATAAGAATGTGACATTTTACTGCATATGTTCTGTGTAAAACAGTCATTACTGGAGAGGATGGGGTAGAATAAGTAGAAATGGCAGGCAGTTGAAATCTTGGAAAAGTAAGTGGGATCAGGACTGCAGCTAAAGGTAGAAATGTCCCAGAGTGAAGACAACAGAGGGTATAAAAGAATCTATAACACATTCCAAAAGGATACAGAATTGCTGAGCTTTCAGAACAAACGTAACCAGGGGAGGAAGGGGAAACCTTACAGTGTAGCTGGAATACATTTCTACAGGGTTTTTCGGTTTTCCTGTGTAAACAGCTCTGATCATTCATCGCAACTCCTCTTCTCCCTCATCCATCTGACAGTTATCCAACTGCACATAAAATAAAGATTGAAGGTGAATTAAATGGATTATACAATAATTCTTTCTGTAAGAGCCTTTCTGCCTTTTTTTTTAATGTCAGAAAATGCCTTTCCGTTCTGACTTGCTTTGGCTGTACTTCTTTTTATCCATGCTTTCCCTCTGCTTTTCTGTTTAGCTGTCGTTTTCCATTTGTGACCATGCGTTCTCAGCATATTTGTAATTGCTAAAGTAGAGGCCTGGGAGTTGGGACTCTGGATTTCTATTTGTGCCTCAGCTCCCCAACCTCAAAACAGTTACTTACCTACTCTGTAGGGAGGTGTTGTATTTTGATTTTTTTTTCTAAAACCTCATTGTGTTCTTTAGGTGAAAGGTGGCATACAGGTACACATTATTCTTCTCTTCTGTTTTAGCTTCTGTGTTAGGGGATGTCAGTTGCTACTCTGTTACGGAATTGATATGGTCTGTGTCCCTGCAGGAGGGAGAGATAGTTGAGATGGCCTTTTGAGTCCTTCACCTAACTGTTTTCTAGCTGATTGTGTGCCTTTGGGAAAGGAAGAGGGATTCCTGTTTAGTAACTCTCCAGTTGAGTATCAAGAGTACTACGTACATTTTCCCTATGTGGGGAAAATGGCCTGGTTTGTGTTAAGTTTGACACACCAGGCTAGTTTCAGCCTTGAGTGTTGTGATACTCGCAGAGTTTAGATTTATTTATTTATTTAGGTGGTTTTCAATAAGTTTACAAATCTTTGACAAATGAATATCAGAAACAAAACAATTATTATAACAGTTAGCTTTTGTTTAAAGAGACATTATACAGGAATATCGTCATCAGATCTTTATATTTAACATATTACGGCGTGATTATAATTAAAATCCTTATGTTTCTAGTGGTCTTGCTAAATTGAGTGAAATCTCAATATGCACACTTAACAGACATACCCAATCTGATGTATAATATTTAAAAAAAAATTGGACAGGTATTTTGGCTTTTTTTGTAGGTGAATGTATTTTTTTCTGAGTATTAAAGATAACCAAATAGCTAGCTAGCTATTTGTCCTCTGTCTGTATTGCTGGGTACGTAGTTGATGTGTTAATTTTTCTATAACAGCCACCACCTATATATAAATATAATAATTTTAACTAATCCTCTATGGTTGGGCTATTTTTCTTTTTTCAGTGTGAGGCTGTAAGCAGCTACTAGCAGATGGATTAATTCTTCATTTCCATTTTTTGTGACCATTTCCATTCGAAAGCCTTCGGAGGATTAGCAAAGGATCATGTGGTAGTAATATCCAACAATTTGTGATATTTGGTTACTGATTGCATCCTAATACTCGCCGACTGGACACATCTGCCATATAGGCAAAAAATAATCTTCATTCACCACAATTTCTCCAACATTTATCCCCATTCAGTCTATATTTTTTAACCTGATCGGTGTGAGGTACCACTGAAACAGTATTTTAAAGAAGTTTTGTTTGTTGTGCTGCATACTGAAGTTGTTGGTACTCTTTTCCAGGTCAGACCCCATTCTTCTGGGGTAATTTGTCTACCCACATCCTTTTCTCAGTGAGTCATATATAGACACTATTTTGTTAGGGAAGCTGTCTGCAAAGATTAATGTAAATTAGTTTATTTTGTTTTGGTTTTTCCAGATTGCCATCACTTCTATTACAATTAGCTTTCTGTATAGAAAGGTTTCTGAGTGGTAGCCGTGTTAGTCTGTATCAGCAGAAACAACGAGGAGTCCTTGTGGCACCTTGGAGACTAACAAATTTATGTGGGCATAAGCTTTCCTGGGCTAAAGTGGGTTTTAGCCCACAAAAGCTTATGCCCAAATAAATTTGTTAGTCTCCAAGGTGCCACAAGGACTCCTCGCTGTTTTTGTATAGAAAGGGTTGTCTAGAAAGTTTAGAAACATTAATGCCTGAGTTGAGAATACAGGTACCAGGAGAGAGTGGGTCAGTTAAATTTCGTTTTGATAGCTAAATAAGTTAGAAAAGTTTCTTGACTGAATAGCTGCCCAGCTGTGCATGTGTATTCTGTGGCGCTCTCAATGTTTGAAGCTTTCTGGTTTGTGATTTGGATTAAAATCTGGATGATTTTCAGTGGATGTCATTGGCAAGGGAGAAGAACTTATTTTCTATCTAGTTCTATCCAAAAGCCATTCCGTAGCCTTTGCTAAAGGATGCATGTTTATTTCTGGAGGGTGTGATTTTTACTAATCATGGTAGCCTAGCAGTATGTAAACTGCTGCAATATTCTTGTTCATTAAAGACCCAGTGTTTCAATGTAAATGCACCCCCAGTCCACTACTATTTTGAGTTGTCTGGCTTGATAGTGCCATAGAATATTTGGAACGGCTAGTCCATTCTGTTTGATGGGTCTGTACAAAGTTACTGGTCTCACTCTTGGTATTTTCATATTCCATATAAATTCTAACAACGTCCTCTGTATTCCTATACTCAGTCTTCTAAAGTTAAGTGATAGTAATGAGTCCTAAAATGAATGTTTTCCTGGAAACAAAAAAAGCTTCATTACAAACTAGCAATCATCCACAGCTTTGTTGCTCAAGTTTATGGTAAAGATGAGTGTGAGGGTGGGCAAGTGTTTGCCTTGGTTTGTGCAAGTGGCACATGATGTGTTTGCTGAGGTGAGGGGCTATGTGTGTTTGAGGTTGTTGTGCTGAGTTTGTCTGAGGGTATGGTGTTGGGAGATTGTCCTGATGTGTGACAGTAACATTTGAGGGCAGTGCGTGTTTGGGATATTTTGTATCTCACTGATATGGCAGGCAGTTGAGCCAAGTAATCCACTATCAGTGCAGTCTCCTTCATACAACCAATGAAATTGTTTCACCCAAATTAGCTGTAGAGTAAGGATGGTGATATCACAATGGTCTGGGACTCTTGGCATGTCATAGATACATGTCTTACTGTAGCTATACACCCACAGGTGTCATTCATAGGGTCGCAATGGCTTAATATCCACATTTCTGTAATATTGCACAAATATTAGTTTATGTATATTTAACCCTGGTCTTCAGCATAGTGGATTATTGATCCTGATCCCTGGCATGCTTTAGTCTTAATACGTGCAGTGACTTCAGTAACTCCCGAAATGCAACCTTGTACTTGATAAGTCCAAGGGACAGGAGCAAGGTGCCAGCTATACAGTACTACAAAATGCTGGCATCTGATGCTTTATCTGTTGTTCTAATCTTTCTCTAATTCTTAATGTTTCTTTAGAAATCCTCGTGGTTATTAACAGGGGGAAATCATAAGGCAAAACAAGCAAGTTTAATAAGCAAAACCTTTTATATACCTCTCAGACTATATGCCTGTGCATGATGACATAACTCGACAGACTACATGATCTGCATTTTAAAACTATTTTTGTGTTTTTTTTAAAAGAAAAATAAAGCTCAAGAGCATTTGAAAACTCTGATAACTTTATAATTTCTGCTTTCCTTGTGTCCTTTTAGGGTGTATGTCAGTTGACAAGCGAAGAAGATGGAACCAATTATCCATACAGGAGAATCGATATCAGGTAAAATTTTAAATGGAATAGGCCTGCACCCCTAGGGTAGAACAGGCATTTGTTAAAGCATCATCCAAAATGGGGGCATTAGTCATGATTGCACCATGTCATGTGTATCATACAGAACAGGTCTGCACAGCCCACTCAACTTCACAATGGGGCATTTATGGAAGTGCTATGTCCCAGTCCCTGACTGCAAAGCAAGCCCCCCCTTCTCCTGATTCCAGAACAAGGATTTCTGTCTCTGTCCTTCCCCTCCAGCAATTACTGAACAGGGAGGTTTGTCAGGGTACTGTGCCCTAACTGCTCAGTAATAGTTTAATGTCAAGAGTTGTTGCCCTTCCCTCCCCTTCCTTTTGTGTGTGCCTGTAGGATGATGGATTTTCAGGCATATTGCAGTCCCTCCGACGGTGGTGATCTAGGAATAGTTATACAGAGTCCTGAAATGTTGTGCCAGTAGAGCATTGGGTTTTGCTGTAAATGGTAATAAGACTGGAGAAACTGTGCCTCAAATCGTACTGGTCTCAAGTTGCAGTGGGGGAGATTTAGGTTGCATATTTGGAAAAACTTTTTCACTAGGAGGGTGGTGAAGCACTGGAATGGGTTACCTAAGGAGGTGGTGGAATCTCCTTCCTTAGAGGTTTTTAAGGTCCGGCTTTACAAAGACCTGGCTGGGATGATTTAGTTGGGTATTGGCCCTGCTTTGAGCAGGGGGTTGGACTAGATTGTTAGGATTTAGATATTTAGGCCTGTCTGCAAAGGCCTATACTTTTAAACCAATTAAGGTGGTGGGATATAATTGAGGATGGGTTAGTCTATATAGTAAAACTTGAGTTCTGCTTAGCTATACCTTAACCAAGCAGAACTCAAGTTTTACTGTATGAAATGAGGATTTCACATCCCAGCTATTGATAAGTGAGTTCTTGCCAGACAGGATGCTATCAAACTAAGTTTTCTTTAAATCTTCTAGGCTCTTCCCTTTCTCTGGAGGTGATAGATTCAATCACCTTTTTAACAGCCCAGAACTGCCTTATTTCAATATGACTGGTGAGGATGTGACCGTTCGCTTCCCAACTTATGGCTGCCCCTGCTGTTTAGCCAAAGGCCTTAGCCTAAGAACAAGGCCTTAGACTATCATCGTGAGAGAAGGCCAATAAACAGGCAGACTGATTTTTGATTCCTGTTTTGTACCTCTATAATTAGCTAAGTGATAAGAATACACCTAAATTCTTAAATATACTGGCCTGAATATCTGTATCCTAACATAGATGACTTCCTGAGGTCCCTTCCAACTCTGATATTCTGTGATTCTAAGTGAATTCTAACTGACTTGTAACTGAGGTTTTTTTTTTTTTTTTTTTTTTTATTCTAGGCTGATCCCCAAGGATCAGTATTATTGTGGAGTACTGTACTTCACAGGCAGTGACATATTCAATAAGAACATGAGAACTCATGCCCTAGAAATGGGCTTCACAATCAACGAGTACACAATCCGGCCCTTGGGAGTTACTGGTGAGTTTGGTCTCTACGCAAAGTGCTTTTTCCAATCTCTCTTGTTGTGATGCTCCCCAGGGGTACTCAGCGTTGTGAGGCACTTCACCCCTTCCTGCCCTTCATGAGAAGGGGTGTTGTCTGTGCCTGCTGTAGGTCAGCTCCCTGAAACCAAACCCCTCTGGCTACACAAAGACTGCTTTTGAGGCCTCCACATACATCTCTTTTTGTGCAGTCTAATAATAAGGACACACCAACCCTAAGAGTCCTTGGCCCGCACCTTGCAGTGTCCCACTCCTGTCACTGGATGCTCACAGAAATTAGTAGATTCGCTCTCCCCCAGGGAACAGTATACACACATTTGTTTGATTCAACTGAGAGTCAGCTCCTATATAACATTACAGCACTGAGATATATTTATAATGAAAACAATCATATGTTTATTATTGGAAGCTAAGATTTAAGAGCTAATAAGGATAACAATGGAAGCAGAAATGGTTATATATAAAAATGCTTCCTAGAGTTAGAAGTTTTAGTCTGTTAAAGTAGTTTCTCACCTAAAGCAGTCTCCCAGCATCTCCAACTAACATGGCTGAGATCCCCCTTTCATGAATGCAAAAAGCACTATCCTTTTTGGTTCCTCAGTGGAGGATAAAGAGGCATCCTTCTTGCCTTCTCTTCTAGCCCCCCAAATTAATTGTTTTGTCCCCAGAGTCAGGATGGCTCCCTGTGATTTAGTGTCTGGTGTCTTTCTATCCCCATTTACTCAATGTGCAGATTTGGCTTCCATTATATTGGTTTACAGTGATTGATTTACATGGCCAACAATGTGACACATGAATAAGCTTCCTTTGTGTGACTCAAAACTGGTTTGTCAAATCCACCTTGGAAGACAGTCTTCTTAAAACACATATTTTCAGTACACTTACACAACTCCTGAAATATCATCCATACGTAGATTTTTGCAACATTTCTGAGGATCAGTATGATACGCTTTTATTAGATACCTCACTTGACTCTCTTTGGATATATGCTACAAAAGCAATGTGGTGGGTCTAGTGAGTTTGTCAGGACTGCCAGGTGTTGTTACAGAAGAGTGAATCCTTTGCCGGTTGGCATTGAGGGGTTGTTAGGTTCACATTTGCCCTGAGAACCTTTCTTCTCCAAACAGACCTATACGCACATAATAGTATTTTGGGACGCTACTGCCAAATGCCATAGTTAAATGTAGCACGCTATTCTCTCTGACTTCAGAGACCTACCTAGTATCAGGAGGCATCTTTCTTCTCTCCAGCACCCAAGCGGTACTTTCACACAAGATATTAACCCCCCTCTGGGTCTGCCTGATCCAGCTCAATGGAATGATGCCATTGATTTCAATGAGAACAAGACCTGATTTGTGCCACACAGGGCAGGCATCTGTTTTCCAGCACTATAACAAGACTGTAGCTCTGTGTTGGCTTCGGATGGGCATACTGTCTAATTTTAACTGATGGTGTGTATTTATAAAGCTGTGTCAAGAGCTAGTGTTCTAGGATTGACACTCTGAGGTTGGGATACAGAGTTGCTGCATTTACAGTGATACATTCAACACCTGTTGATCAGGTGTGGGGGTTTTTTTGTTTGTTTGTTTTTGCATAGAAGTTCTAGTTTTTAGACCTTATCTAACTATTAACCAGACTACTATTTTCCCTTTCATCTCTTTATGCAGCTTCTTGGTTTTCAGACATCAGCCTTTTTTTTTTTCTAGATAAACCTGTCCTTTATAAAATGGTGTCTGCACAGCACTGCTAGTGATGCCTTGCAAAGTTGCTGTTTTTCACCCGTCTGTCATCTTTATTGTGTTTTCAGGAGTTGCTGGGGAGCCCCTCCCAGTAGAGAGTGAAAAGGATATCTTTGACTACATACAGTGGAAGTATCGAGAGCCAAAAGAACGGAGTGAATAACTTGCATTTATAGGTTTACTAGCTAGTGCTCACTTATTTTGTAGCTTTTATGAATAATCATCAGAGTCAAAGCTAGGTGCATATTTATTGCTTGAATATTACTTCAGAAGGTGTATATTACTGACACTGTTTTTAAACAGTAGTTCCATGGCACTAGAGTAAAATATGTTGTAAAATTAAATCACCTAGCATTGCAACTTGATTACTTTCCTTTTATTCAAAAATATCTTTAATACAAACGTGGTTTTTATCTGAATTTTAATTAGTCCCTTTGCTAAGGTGCTAAGATAAGTCTGCAGGGAAGATGAGGAACCAAGCAGCTCCCTCACGATAAAATTCCTCCTAGATTAAATTGGGAATTGGTCCAGACTTTTGTCTTCTAATAATAAATTATAGTCTGCCTTTGTCTCCCTGGGATACTGGATATCTGTGTTTAGAAAGCACAACTTTTGTTTTATTCCTTTCCCATACAATTTCCATGGAAAAATGTGGCTGCTCAACAAGGACGATTACTATTAGTGTATTCAGTGGTGGCTTCTAAATGAAGATATTGTGTTTGTCTTTCATAAAAGTCAATGCACTTGTCATAATATTTAAAATAGTCACCATGTGAATAGATTTATGGGTGGCCAAGTTAGGTGCAAAATAATGAAGAAAAGTCACACTATCCCCTCTTGTCTCTGACAGTAACAGCATTAGTCCATGGGGTCACTCTCTCCGCATAAAGAAAACTGCATTTTAATTTTGATACATTTCCCTGAAGTGCTGCAAGCCAAAGCTTTCTTTTGTGGCTCTGAACATCCTTGAAACATTTGGGAAAAGTTTGACCCTATTGACAAGTAAATTGCAATTCCTGTGAAAGAATCTACTAGTTCCTTTAGTACATTTTTTTATTTTATTTTAGTAAATAACTAAATAGTTGGAAAGCAGCTGGAGAACCTTTGAATTTGAGTATGATAGCTATAAAAAAGGACCCTAAATAGTTTGTAAAAACAGACAAAAAATCAAGCCTTTTTGTACTTCATGCTATCTGAAAGCAGAAGCGATTTTGTAAGCGTCTGATAGCTACTTAGTGCAGCCCACAAGGATACAGCAGAGCCCATGTGATCTAAATGTACATCTAAGGTTGCCCAGTGCCCAGATCTTGCTTTGAGCTGCATGTTTCCTCCAGCGCAGGCCTCTGTTGGCCTGTGGAAGGTTAGGGGTAGTTTTATAGAATCTTGCATAAATTAACTCTGGAGTAGACAGCGAATCCCTTGCTCTCCCTCTGGAGCCAGTGTGTATTGGCTCTTTAGCTTCTCTGGCAGATGTTTAAGCGCGACGGTTGTGGCAGCCTGGTGAGCGGTGGTCGGCAAGACAAACCAGGGCCACAATCACAGCGTTGGAAAATTTCTGGACCTTGAGCAACATCTTTGTGTCCCCGGCGGGAACAGACCAGTCCTTCACGGAGAACTGGCTTACAGATTTTGGTCCAGAAATGGCGAGCGCAGCAAAGCCCAAAGGCACAATCTGAAGTGCGAAGGCAGCTTTTTCCCTCTTGACCTGCAGTAAGCAGAATAAAATGTGTAACATACCCCATGTCTTCGAGGTTCTTGGCTTGAGCAGTGGGTCAGAGGAAAGTTGCTGAGCGCAAAACTGAGGATTGCTAGCAGAGAGGGGTGAGACTTGTTTCAGACCAGTCCTGATCTGCCCCATTGTGGAAAGCCCTCTGTCCTCCCCTGCAAAGATCTCTAGCTCAGGGGTGGGCAAACTACGGCCCAGGGGCCACATCCGGCCCTCCAGATATTTTAATCTGGCCCTCGAGCTCCCAGCAGGGTCAGGGCTTGCTTCCTGATCTCCTTCCTTAGAAGTTTTTAAGGTCAGGCTTGACAAAGCCCTGGCTGGGATGATTTAATTGGGTATGGGTCCTGCTTTTGAGCAGGGGGTTGGACTAGATGACCTCCTGAGGTCCCTTCCAACCCTGATATTCTATACCTCTATGATTCTATGCTCTGCATGGCACCTGGAAGCAGCAGCATGTCCCTTCTGCGGCTCCTATGTGTAGGGGCAGCCCGGGGGCTCCACATGCTGCCCCCACCCCAACCGCTGCTCCCACAGCTCTCGTTGGCTGGGAACCGTGGCCAATGGGAGCTGCAGGGGCGGCGCCTGTGGGCGAGGCAGCATGCAGAGCTGCCTGGTTGTGCCTCCATTTAGGAGCCAGAGTGGGGGATGTTCTGCTGCTGGGAGCTGCTTGGGATAAGCGCCGCCCAGAGCCGGCACGGCCGACTCCCTCCCACAGCCCAAACTCCTGCCCTCCGAACCCCTTTGTCACAGCCCGGAGCTCACACCCCCAGCCGGAGCCCTCACTCCCTCTGGCACCCCAACCCTCAATTTCATGAACATTCATGGCCTGCCATACAATTTCCATACTCAGATGTGGCCCTTGGGCCAAAACATTTGCTCAGCCCTGCTCTAGCTGATCTTCCAGCTTAAAAATCAGCAGGCATGCTCATGGGTTACATGTCAGTCATAACTGTGGACAAGGCTTGCAAGAATCTTCCTTCATATGGGGATTATTTTTCTAATTGAAAAAGATCTTTGGGCTCCTAATCCCTACCAGTTTTACCATTTTGAAATCTCTCTGCTTTATTCACCAAAGAAATTAGCAGCTAGTGTGGTGCCTGTGGAACATTACCAGCTGATAATAGAAGCTACTACTACTACGGCTCTGTTTTTGTCTAATATTTTAAAAAGAAAAAGCTGCACTGTCTACAGATTGCACACATAACCTGTCTATAGAATCATAGGACTGGAAGGGACCTTGAGAGGTCATTTCGTCCAGTCCCCTGCCCTCATGGCAGGACTCAGTATTATCTAGACGAGTGCTTCTCAAACTATCTGATGTGGGGGACTGGCAATTTTTTTTTCCCATGTGCGTGCAGACCAGTAGCCGATGGCTCACGGACCGGCACCGGTCTGCGGACCACCACTTTGAGTAGCACTGATCTAGACCATCCCTGACAGGTGTTTATTTAACCTGCTCTTAAAAATTGCTAATGTTGGAGATTCCACACCCTCCTTGGGCAATTTATTCCAGTGCTTAACCGCACTGACAGGAAGTTTTTCCTGATGTCCAACCTAAACTTCCCTTGCTGCAATTTAAGCCCTTTGCTTCTTGTCCTGTCCTCGGAGATTAAGGAGAGTAATTTTTCTCCGTCTTCCTTGTAACAACCTTTTTACATACTTGAAAACTGTTATCCTTTCCCCCTTCTGTCTTCTCCAAACTAAGCAAACCCCATTTTTTCAGTCTTCCCTCATAGGTGATGTTTTCTAAACCTGTAACCATTTTTGCTGTTCTTCTTGGGAGTTTCTCCAGTTTGTCCACATCTTTCCTGAAATGTGGTGCCCAGAACTGGACAAAATACTCCAGTTGATGCCTAATTAGCGTGGAATAGAGTGGAAGACAAGAATGTATTTGAGTAACCTAACTCTCCCTTTCCTAAGTTCTCTCTTTCCATATATGCCTATTTGTGATTTACTCTTAAATTGTAAGCTCTTTGAGAAAGAGATTTTCCTCTCTATGGCCCCATTCCTACAACCATTTAAGCACATGCATAAGTGTTTGCAATTTCAGACCTAGCATATGCTAATATAGTACGAATAATTAATAGTAGTAATAGTTCTTTTGAGCTTTATGAATAACTGAGCTCTTTGAGACCTTATTGCCCTCTGCTGCTTTGGTTCTGTTTGATCCTTTTCTAATAATGTCAGTTTCCCTAGGTTAATGTTGTTATATGAATTTTAACTTTTGTATTCCCTGTCTTATTTGTTAATGTAATATTAAGGTTACATATTTAGTTTCTTGCATTTAGAGATATTCATATAACGTTACCTGTAAAATGGGGATACTGATACTGACCTTTATTAAGTGCTTTGAAATCTGATGAAAAGCACAACATAGCAGCTAGGTATTATCTATTATTAAATGCAAACAATGTGAAGACAGCCCCAAAGAGTGGTATCCTAAAATGAACTTACATCCTGGCAATAACCTATGTTAGAAAATTTACAAATAAGAAACTAATCTAACAATGTTTATTCTGAGCAAGTACTAGCACTCGCAATTTAAATAAATGGAGAATGGCACATTGCTGAATGTTCTTTTAACAAAGCCTGACCTCTTTCTCCCCCTCCCGCCCCCACACACCTTTGCTAGTTTGCTATAACTAGCAGAGTTGGTTTCTGACTTATGACAGGTGATTTGTAATGAGCACAGTGTAAATTGCTAAGTCGATCCAGATTCCATGCTGCACTTAGTGCAGCCGGGGATGGAGAGGGACACCAAGGTAGTTGTACTTCAGGTTTGGTACCTGGATTCTAGAACTGTCCAGGGGCCCAAAGGCTGCAATAATTTGAACTTGGCTGTCCCTAGCTCAAAAGGTGGTCGAAAGCTGAGAATAGCCTTGGAATAAGGACATTCCAGCTGTGCCCCCTATGCCAGTGGCACACCGGGGGTGGCAGAGAGCTGCTTTTCCTGATGAAAAGGGAATTTCCAGATAACAGCCAGAAGGCTTGCTTCATCAAGTTTTGCATCACCAGAGCGGGGTCCAGAATCTCGTCAAAATATTCCTAGTGAGTAAAGAGACCATGTGGATGAGGTAATATGTTATTGGACCAACCTCTGTTTGTGAGAGAGACGAGCTTACAAAGAGCTTGAATATAAAAGAAGTTACCTCACCCACCTTGTGTCTCCAATATCCTGGGACTGATGTGGCTGCAACACTGTATCCAAATCTAGTAAGTAACAGTTTATATTTTTACAGAAAAGATTTTATGGGGATTATTGTTCTCTGCATTTGTTTTAACATAATTCCTGATGATTTAATACTCAAAACACCTAATTCTGTGATTGGCATTATTATAACTTCCATGTAGGAAGTAATGCGGTTATTCTCAGTGCATAATTTTAAAACATGCTGGGACCCATCTGTTTGTTTGCTTTACGTAATAGAATGCTAGGGGTCTCCTCCTTTTCCTAATGGAAGATTACATACACATGCCTCCGTATAATTTTACTTTTCTAATCTGGAATATATTTCTCCTCCAAGATTGAATATAATTATTTCCCTGCTTTTAAGCCCATTTTACCTTTATGGCTTGGAGATTTGACAAGTCCTTTTTTAGAGTTGTTTTCTTGGATCTGGTGTTGAGTTGTCCCTTTTGAATCAGAACCATCCTGTTCGTCAGTCTTTCTTCCTTCTGTTGGGGTAACCTCTTCAGTCTGGCTGCAAACATCTGGTGTAAAGGTGGAAGGTTGTAATTTTGGACAGAAACGGGGAGGGGGGGGAGAGGGAGGATGGCGACATTGCTGCTTTGAGACAACAAATGATCTTTTATTCCGGATGTGAAAATGGATCCAATTGCCTTCTGTCTCCCTCCCTCATACATCATGCTTTTATAGGTTCATACCTGCGTAGATTTTAAGGATAAAAGGGACCATTATGATCACCTTAGTTTGACATTTTACGTAACAAACCATAAATTCTCACCCAGTAACTTCTGCATGAAACCTCTAAGCTCTGTTTGTGATATAGCAGTGGTTCTCAACCAGGGGTAGGCATACCCCTCGGAGTACACAGAGGTCTTCTAGGGGGTACATAAACTCATCTAGATATTTGCCTAGTGTTACAACAGGCTACGTAAAAAGCACTAGCAATGTCAGTACAAACTAAAATTTCATACAAACAATGACTTGATTATACTGCTCTATATAGTATACACTGAAACGTAAGTACAATATTTATATTCCAGTTGATTTATTTTATAATTATATGATATAAATGAGAAAGTAAGCAATTTTTCAGTAATAGCGTGGTGTGAGACTTTTGTATTTTTGTGTCTGATTTTGTAAGCAAGTAGTTTTTAAGTGTAACTTGAGGGTACGAAAGACTCCTGAAATCAGACTCCTGAAAGGGGTACAGTTCTCTTGAAAGGTTGAGAGTCATGGAGCTATAGCATATCTTTTAGAAAGGCATCCAGTCTTGATTTAAAGATTTCAAATGATGGAGAATCCACCATGTCCCTAAGTCAGTTGTTCTAATGGTTAATGAGCCTAACTTAAAATGTGCACCTTATTTCTACTCCCAATTTATCTAGCTTCAGTTTCCAACCATTGAATTTTGTCATGCCTTTTCTGCTAGATTAAAGAGCCAGCTGTCCGCTATCAGAAGTCTTTTCTATATAGGAGTTGTAAACCATGATCAAGGCATCTTCCATTTCAATATCTCTGCCTTCCAGAATACTGTCTCCCATCTTATAGGTGTGACCCTATGTTCTTTGTTTCTACATGTTTGTGACCTTGCGTTTGACTGTGTTAAAACACACATTGTTCAAGTGAGCCCACCCTACCAAGTGATTCATGTTGGTCTACATAACTGACCTGTTCCCATCATTATTTATCATTCCATCAATTTTTGTGTCATCTGCAAACTTTACCAGCACTGATTTTACATTTCTTTCCAGATCATAGATACAGATGTTGAATATCATTTGGCTGAGAACAGATCCCCGTGAGACCCCCACTGGAAACATCCCCTCTTTAGTTAGTGTCAGCTAATCTAGTTACTAATCTATTTAATATGGCCCATATTTTAGTATAGTGTTAAACTTTTAATCAGAATGTCACATGGGACTCAAACACATTACAGAAATTAAAGATAGTTGTGTTGACATGATATATTTTATTAACCCAACTTGTCATTTCAGACACACGATTATTTTTAAGATCTATTTTCCATAAAACCATGTTGATCATGACCAATTATGCTACCATCCTTTAATTCTTTACTAACTGGATCCCATATAATCCTTTCCATGACTTTGCCTGGGATTAATGTCAGACTAACTGTCCTATAGTTATTCCTGATCATCACAGTTACTCTTTCTAAACAAGATTTGTTAAATCAATATTAATGATTCAGAGAACTCTGGCAATTCTCTAATCTTGGATGCAGGTTATCCAGTCCTGATGATTTTAAAAATATTTAATAGTTTCTGTTCCTACTTACTGGTGGAATAGTGAGGATGTTAACATGTCGTCTTATCACTGTAATATATTAAAACATCATTGTACTATAGTAGAACTTCAGAGTTACAAACCCCAGTGTTAGAAACTGACTGGTCAACCACACACCTATTTTGGAACCGGAATTACACAATCAGGCAGTAGCAGAGACCATAAAAAAAACCCAAAACACACCGATACAGTACTGTGTTAAACATAAACTACTAGAAAAATAAAGGAAAAGTTTAAACAAAAAGATTTGACAAGGTAAGGTAACTGTGTTTGTGCTTGTTTCATTTAAATTAAATGATTAAAAGACGCATTTTTCTTCTGCGTAGTAAAGTTTCAAAACTTTATGAAGTCAGTGTTCAATTGTAAACTTTTGAAAGAACAACCATAACGTGTTGTTCAGAGTTACGAACAACCTGTCTATTCCTGCGGCGTTTGTAACTGAGGGTTCTACTGTACTTTCCCCAAACAGAATTATTATTGAATACTTTTGCCTTTTTCTGTATAGCAATTGATATCTTTACAATCCTTATCTAATTTCAGACCGATGAAATTGTTCAGATTTAATTTGTTCCTGATATATTTAAAGAATTCCTTCTGATTGTATTTAACCCTACTGGCCATAGATATCCCCCCCCCCCCCCCCACACACACACACAAATTGATACCTTTAGCTTTTATGAATTGTGTGCCGTTCCTAACTACCAATTTTAACTCGTTACTATCAACTTCCCTGTTTGACATGTGTTCAGATGCATGTATAGGACTTTTATTACTTTGTTATTTTACAGATGCCTCATGGTAAAGATAGTTGCTTGTTTTAAAGAAATGCTGGAGAGTTTGATGATCTCAACGTTAGCAGGAGGTAAGGGAAAACCAGGAAAATTTTTAAAACAGGCACCAACCACTTCTGTGTTTAGACCATATAGATTATAATCATGTAGTTCTAATCTCTACCAACCTTTAAATAACACAGACACCAGATGATTATTGCTTACCATTTATACACATAGTCCCTGGGCAGCACATAGCATTACGCTTGCATCTTCGTCGTAACCCACGACAGGTAACACAGAAGGACGCTTCATCTTCATGCTTGAGGCAGAATTTGCTAGCATTACAGTCCTGGTCTGTTACGCACTGTGAGCTCTACAAATTAAAAATAACTTTCCTCAGAAGGGGAAAATGCTGTAAATCAGCAATACTTAGAGTAGCGCGCACACACACACACACCCCTACTGCCCCCTTCATTGATCAGTCCAACATGTTATTTTTGGAATAATCTTTCTTGGGTCTGGTCTATGATCTCCCATTTGATGGGGAGCTCTCGAGGACAAAGGTCTACACCTCTCTGTCCTGTATTGGGACCAGCACAGTTCTGATCTTCAGCAAGTAACAGAAACAGCATGTTAAAACTGACATGTTTTTTAAAGCAGCAGTTTGTGCACGTTTGTGTTTATTATATGTGTCAGTAGTGTAACTAGCCTAATGTTACACAGCAAATCACTTCCCAAATCAAGATTAGAACTCTAGCAGCCTTTGCTCACCCCATCTTGCACTCAGTGCATTTTAGAGCATAGTGCTCTGCTGAAGAGCTGATCAGTGCTGACAGGCCATCACTTGCTCTAACTTCATTTATATTTTAAGAGGGTGAAATCTTGATATCATTCCCCTTCTCCCAAAGGGACACATTTTTCCATTTTTAAAATGTTTCCAATTTAGAAATACACAACAGCTATGACCGTATTAAAATTCTGTTTGCTGGGATGGTTGATTCACCTCCAGTTATCACATAGCTGGGTCTGTTGGGGTCAGGAACATAAGTATTTTTTGTTTCCTCTAACAATTCTAATACTTTCTGGGCCAAGCACTATTCCAAGCAATTGTAACCCTTCTATTTAAAAACTGAAATTAATCATGCGATTTTTGCAGAATATTACTAATATTTTGAGATCATTTAACCCTTGAAAATTCAATTCAGGTCTCCAACTGACCCCCAGAGCTCTCACCTTTCTGGTGCCCTGCACTTCAGCTGAACTCTTGATGCTGTTGTAGTCTAGAACCAGGGCTACCAATGGGGAACAGATGCAGCTGAGCCCCAGCAGCAAGACTGCCACCATTCTTCAGGCAGGTTGATCTGGTTTCCCCCGTGAGGTCTGGTGCGCTTAGCACTGTTGTCTAAGATATGCTGAAGCTTGAAAACAAGCAACACAGATTCAGCAAATATGGGATATTTGTGAATCTTTTTAAAGAAAAATTCTTGAATAAAAGTCCTTTTCTTACATTTTACATCTCTAGCCGAAGAGGAAAATCTGTGGAGAGGAGCTCTGTCCTTCTGGGGTATTTATAGCCAAGTTTGCTGTCCTTTCCATCCCCTCCTCTCCTCATTTCCTTCCTCTTCAGCCCACACAGACTTCAACAAATCTCTTCAAATCTGTTTGATCAATAGTTCAAAACAAGGATTCAATAAAACGAGCAAGGAGGTAGGGCAGCAGCAGCAGCAGCCACCTCTCCTCAGGGGCTGAGCCACTCCTAATTATTGCATATCAAAGTTAGTTCAAAGGGACAGTAGAGGAGCAGGATGTTTGTATCAAAGGCAGACACTGCAAATCACCTGCATTTCCTACCCTCCATAATCCCTTTGCAAAAATTTTTTTTCTAAGATCTGTTTTGACAGCTAATTGTGCTCCAAGAAAGAGTGATTCATGTTGGCCAGTCTGCCAATTACTAAACATTTATTTATCCCTGGTATGGTGGGAGTATAGAGGAAACTGTCTGTCTGGTTAGCTCTGGCATCCAGTCACAATTATCACTTGGTTCAAGGCAGCTGCCAAAATAATCCCTGCTCGAGTCAAATATCTGTTTGGGAAAGTTTTCCTGCTTCCTGTAGTGGAACAAAGCTGTTTGAAGCTAGTGTTCATTCTGAAAACTAGGATATGTATCTGCTTTGATCCCGACTCCAAGTTGCGGGAGGTTTATACTAGTAGTAAAATCACAGAATATTTATCTTCACAAAATTTGATTGTCATCTGTATCACATTGCCTTAACTTGAAATAATTGGAACTGGATTACAGATCTATAGCTGATTACTTGCAGAATTTGACATGCCTTCAGTATCTCCAATCAGAAAAGTCTTTTTCGCTCACTCAGAACTTTGCCATTCAGTTGTCATGTTGAAACATCACCTAGGACAGATTGGAAGTGGGAAGCCTACATGTGTGCCTTAAGCTACTCTGTCGTAATGTTTTAAAGTTAGAAAAAGAATAAGCTACCTACTGTTTTTATCATTGTACGTTTCATACTAACTTGGAGTATTGACAGGATCTGCTTATTATGCCATTAATGCAGTATGTAGGACATTTATGTAGGACATAAATAATTTCTCCTGAGTCCTATTGCAACTTGGCTATCAAAGGGAGGCATGAGCACAGGGCTGGGAGTCAAGAATTCCTGAGTTCAAACACTGGCTCTACCATTCACTTTCTCTGTGGCTTTTTGCCTCTGTTTCTCCATTATTAAAACACCCCTTCAGAATAATGTAATAAGGATATATTAAACAGTTAATGTTTGTACAGGGCTTTGCTCACACAGTTATATAAATGGTGTTTGCCTCTGCTGTATTGTCAAAAGCAGTTTTTAAATTTTGTCTGCCTTAGATACTAGCCATGCTATTTACTATACTTGAATAAAGTGATAGTTTTCCTAGGAAGTAGCCCCCCCAAATAATTTAGACCATCATCCTTTTTATATCACAAACCTACATTTATCACAAAGAAATTAAATGATAGCTGGAATGGGTGCAGTTTTATTGTTAGGGGAACTCTTCTTCCTGAGTGAGCTGTGTTTGTCCCTTCACAAGTGGCTTCCCCATGGTCAATTCTTGTTCCCTGTTAGAAACACACTAGTCCTCTGGAACAGCACAGATCCCTTTTAAGAACATCAGTAGTGAGAACAGGGAAAGAAAAGGGGTCAAATCTTTTGCCTTTTTTAAGATGCTTTATTTTTATTTCCCCAGCTCCAACCCACAATTTAATTCTGCCCTACCTAGCTTCCCTCCTTTCACACACCACCAGCTTTTGAGCATTCCTGCCACTCTTCCATATAATCTTCCACTTTAGCAATAGCTTCCAGCCACTGGGGCAAGAAAGAGGCTCTTCTGCATTACTTCGCTCTTCCTGACCCACCCACTTAGAGCTGTCACAGTAATTGCAGCAGCACAAGGCAGTCCCTTTTCCCAGTGTACCCAAGTCTGGCTGGCAAGGACTGTGTAGCCTTATCTACACAGAATTTTTAGCAATTCTCATGCTACTGGTTTAGTCCTAGTGTAGCTGCATCAGTGCTAGATCAAAGGTGGGAGAATTTCTGAACGCCTTCCATATCTGTGCTGTATTTCTGGAGGAATATTTCCCAAGTGATAGACTTCCTTCCATTAAATATCCCACATCCACATTCCACTACACCACCTATGTAACAATCTCTAGATTTATATCTGCTCTTGTTCAAGTAGATTAAAGCAAGTATAATTATGACTCCTGACTCAAATAGTTTAAGAGAAATATAAAACTGATTTGGAGGGGAAAAAAAAACAAGTTTAAACAATCAAAGTTACTAGGGTAAGTAATTCCCTGGCAGTAATTTACAGGAAATCTTTATTGAGGTAACAGATGAAAGGGAGACATTGATGAGCAGACAACATTACAGGAGATATTTATTGTAATTTTTCAAAAGTGTGTTAGTCATAGAAATCAAAGTCAGTACTTCAAATAGTTTACAATTTAAGCTTAGATGTGACATGAGTCTGAGTAACACACAATTTGGAGGGGTTGTAGAAGGGCCAGGGTAACAGTATAATGTGGCTTATTACATTAGGCATGTGTATGCCTTTTTCATTCAGTTAAGATGGGGAGAGTCCAGAAGAGAGCAACAAAAATGATAAAAGATTTAGAAACCCTGACCAATGAGGAAAGGTTTAAAAAAACTGGGCATGTTTAGGCTTGAGAAAAGAAGACTGTGGGGATGATCTGATGAGACTTCAAATACGCTAAATGCTGTTATAAAGAAGTGTCCCTTAAAGATAGGACAAGAGGTACCGGGCTTAATGTCCAGCAAAGGGGATTTAGGTAAGGGATTAGGAAAAACTTTATAAGGATTAAGTTTTGTCATACTCTCTACACTGGCAGCTTGAAGGGAGACTGGTGTAAAAGTGTTACCATGGCTCTGAGCCATCAAACAACCCTTCTACATGTGCAGTAGTCTTCTTGTGTCACAAATCGTAGCCAAGCAGCCCCTTGTGTTTGCTCACTGTGGGTCCCCAGGTATAAGCTTTCTTGGGTCTCAGCAGGCTGCACTACTGTTTCCTCCCTTTGTCCTTCTCTGGCACATTTCCTGGGCACTGACTTTCACCCTGCTACTCTTTCATGGAAATGGAACCCCTTTGGCCTCCAGTACCGGTGCTGAACCCCAAGATACCTCAGAAGCTTAAACATTCTCTCCCAGAACTCCACCCTCAGGTGTGACCTTGTAGTTTACCATTTTAACTCTCTCACGAGGCTTGTAAATGTTAGCATGTAACACATCTGACTCTTTGCCCAGAGTCTCACACAATTGTTCTTTTATTTAATCATATAAAGCACAAAAGAGTACAGATCAAACAAAATAGTAAACCCTGCACCTATTACCCCTGCTTTTTCCTCACCATTGCCGGTCATTCTTTGGCCTGGGGTCCAAATCCTGCTGCAGGGCATTGCTTGTCTGCTGAAATGTGAAAGCTTGTCCTCCAGCTCAACCTCTTGGCCCTAGGCTAGACCATTCCCTTCCCCTCTCCTGCTCCAAGTTCGCCCTGTGTGGTTCCTTATTTGACCCCCTGACTGGTCCCCCTGTACTGCTCCTGGTAAATTTCCACTGCTCCTACTTTCCTCCCTCTCTGAAAAAGGGTAGGGTAAAACTGTTTTTCCTAAGCTTTAGCTCACCTACTGTTCCAAGGGGTTTGCACCAGAATAGGATTGTTGAATTCTAACTATTCCCCATTGTATCTGTTCTAGGAGGATGTGACACCACCCATGGCAGCTAGGATGGGATTCATAGTCACACAGAGGCATTCAGAAATACTGCAATTTTATAGTACAACATCCCAGTGTCACCGTCTGGGCCGAGTCTTTGCAGAGCGGGGTCCTCCCTCTTTCGTGTAAGCAAGCCGTGCTTGCCTTATTGCCGAAGAAGGGGGACCTCCGCGATTTATGAAATTGGCGTCCCCTCTCGTTCCTCAGCACGGACTACAAGGTCGTAGCAAAAGCCATCTCACTGCGGCTAGGGTCCGTGCTGGCGGACGTGATCCACCCAGATCAGACCTACACCGTCCCGGGCCGCACCATCTTTGACAACCTGTATCTGGTCCGGGACCTCTTGGAACTTGGGTGTAGGGACGGTCTGTCGTTCGCCCTCCTGTCCCTGGATCAGGAGAAGGCGTTCGACAGGGTGGATCACGGGTATCTCCTGAGCACTCTGCGAGCGTTTGGCTTTGGACACCAGTTTGTGGGTTTTATCCAGGTGCTGTACGCCTCCGCAGAGTGTCTGGTCAGGCTCAACTGGACCCTGACCGAACCAGTCGGCTTCAGGCGAGGAGTATGGCAGGGGTGCCCCCTCTCGGGCCAGCTGTACACTCTGGCGATCGAGCCCTTCCTCTGTCTCCTCAGCAGGAGGTTGATGGGGTTGGCGCTGCAGGAGCCAGAGCTGCGGCTGGTCCTGTTGGCATCCACCGATGATGTGCTCCTTGTGGTCCAGGACCCGGGCGACTTGGCGCGGGTGGAGGCTTGCCAGGCCATTTACTCGGCAGCCTCCTCTGCCCAGGTCAACTGGGTCAAGAGCTCTGGCTTGGTGGTAGAGGTCTGGTGGCAGGCGAGCTCCCTCCCACCCACCCACGCTTCAGGCCATCCAGTGGAGTGTGGGTCCGCAGCTCTATCTCGGCGTTTACCTTTCTGCCACGCATCCGTCTCCACCGGAGAACTGGCACGGTTTAGAGGGCAGCGTGGTAGAGCGGCTCTGGAGATGGACAGGACTAGTCTGGTGTCTCTCCCTTCGAGGGAGGGCACTGGTGCTTAATCAACTAGTCCTGTCCATGTTCTGGCACCTGCTCAACACCCTGGTCCCGGCCCCGGATTTCCTGGCCAACCTCTGGAGGTTGATTCTGGAGTTCTTCTGGTCAGGACTGCACTGGGTCTCTGCAGGGATTCTCCATCTACCCCTGGAGGAGGGAGGGCAGGGCCTGAAGTGTCTCCGCACTCAGGTCCATGTCTTCCGCCTCCACGCCCTGTAGAGGCTCCTTTATGGTGCAGGTAGTCCGGCATGGAGCGTACTGGCACACGCCTTCCTGCGCTGCTTCCGAGGGCTCCGATACGACTGGCAGCTCCTTTACCTCCATCCGAGAGGTCTTCCGCGAGACTGGCTGGATCCCCTGACGCTCGCTCAGCGCATGGGGCTCTCCAAACCTCGTACTCCCCTGCGTGTACTTCAGGAGGTGAGGGCCGCTTTGCCGCCCGCTGCTTGGGTTTACCTCGACCAGGTCCTAAGGGAGGGTGTGCCCCGTCCAGCCTCCACACCAGGCCCTCGGGACCGTTTCGTCAGGCCTCTGCCCCGTGGACCCGACCAAAACCACCCCACCACCACCTTCACCGTGAGCCGGTTACCCAAGCTGCAGGTAGTCCGTTTCCAGACCGCGCTAAGGAAACATCTCTACACGCTCGTGCTCCATTCCCTTCATGTCCTCACTCTCGCGTCCCGCCCTGACACAAAGTGGCAGGACCTCCTGCCACCTCTAGAGGGTGAGGAGCGCCGCTGGGCCAGCCTATATTCCACCTTGGTCCCAAGGCCCGTCGAGGATATTAGTTGGCG